ATGCTTTCTACATCAAAATCTTAGCTCGCACAAATCACGAAAAACCCGATTCCTCGATACCTGACAATCCAAAAGGTAGTGTGCCGTCGATCTCTCGATCGGTACAAACGAACGAGCAACGCATGTATATGCGACCTGTGCACGACGGTCAGGACACGTCTCGAATATTTTACCCCGGGAGTTTTTCCTCTTTAATTGATTCAATCGGCGAAAAACACGGCGAGACCGGCTTCAACCCCCTCGGGGGTTTTGCGCCCTCTTTCCCGCCGCATCATCCGCGCTTCCGACAGCCAACCGCTGTAACGAGACGCCAGAACCAACCCCCTTCCGAATAGAAACGCCAACCCCTCTTCGCGGTTTAGTCTCTCGCCTGTTCCTTTTCCTCACTTACCCCTCATCGCGGTTATCCCACCCCGCGCGTATTCGACCCCTTTGTTCTTTCTGCTTATCGTCTCCTTTTCCTTCGATGTTTTCCTTCGCGCCCTGCTTCTGCCTGTTCTTTCGTTCTTGCGCAATTAAACGTTTGTTACGTTTCCGATTCTGTACATTACACTTTTCTTTCGATTTTTTATTTTTAGTAATATAATTATGTTTCTGCCACTTTTTTTATCACACTTTTCTGTTTCCAATTATTTTATCTTTTATCGATGAAGTATATACGCTCCGCTTCGTGGAACATTTTTTTCTTTAACTCTTTGTGTATATAAAAAATTAGCTAATGAATTAAAATTATCAAGGGCGCATTAATTAATCTAAACACACACATTAATAATTGTGACGTTATTAGCTCACTTTATATATTCCCCTATTTTTGTCGCAATTTCTTTTGTGTTTAGAGTTCTTTATTTTTTTTTTTTTTTTTAATGCACTTTTATCTCTATATTAGTCTTAATTATTTTACAAAGGTTTTATTTTATTGTTTATACATAATTAAATTTTTTTAAAATTGTAATTTTAATTTAATATTTAAATTTTCTTTATACTTCAATTTTTCTAATTTTGTTTCTTTTGTACGCGTTTTCCTATTAATATATACAAAGTTTTCAATCTCGGTTTAATCCCTATCGGCGCAGTAACATTTTCGACTGTGTAGTGTGATATAATACGGAAACATTTATACACAGTCGCGTCGGAAGAGCTGAATATATACATAGTTGTCGTTTATGCGAAGCATAATCTCTTCTGTCCTCTTCGCGAAGGGGCGCGTGTCGGGAAATGGAAATGGGTGGTTGTATTACGAGACGAGAGAGCGGGGAAAGTTTCTGCAAGTGCGGCGGAAACTCTCGCGGATTTTCCGTTTGTTATTTTAATTAGAGCCTTCGGGGCCCGCTCGTAACGAGTGCTTGGCTCTCGTCCGCGTTTATTGTATCCTTCTGAAACGACGGTTGTGTCGTATCGTCGGACTGGTACTGGTGGATCACGAAAATACGTATGTATTTTCCAGCCTTCGTTTATTTATATACCTTCCGCGAAATAATCTCGTAACGCCTTATTACCGCGTTAATAAAGCGTCGTGACTAAATTATACTTGTAATCGTAATTGTAGTTGTAATCAATTAATGTCGAATTAATTCTATGTATACAATTTTTTTTATATTCAATGAGCCAGCATCTTGTTAGAGTATATAAACAGGAGAAAAATTAATTAATGTCGAATTAATTCTATATATAAATTTTTTTATATTCAATGAGACAGTATCTTGTTAGAGTATATAAACGGGAGAAAAATGAATTAATGTCGAATTAATTCTATGTATAATTTTTTTTATATTCAATGAGACAGCATCTTGTTAGAGTATATAAACAGGAGAAAAATCAATTAATGTCAAATTAATTCTATATATAAATTTTTTTATATTCAATGAGACAGTATCTTGTTAGAGTATATAAACAGGAGAAAAATCAATTAATGTCGAATTAATTCTATGTATAATTTTTTTTTATATTCAATGAGAAAGTATCTTGTTAGAATATATAAACAGAAGAAAAATCAATTAATGTCGAATTAATTCTATATATAAATTTTTTTATATTCAATGAGACAGTATCTTGTTAGAGTATATAAACAGGAGAAAAATCAATTAATGTCGAATTAATTCTATGTATAATTTTTTTTATATTCAATAAGATAGTATCTTGTTAGAGTATATAAACGGGAGAAAAATGAATTAATGTCGAATTAATTCTATGTATACAATTTTTTTTATATTTAATGAGACAGCATTTTGTTAGAGTATATAAACAGGAGAAAAATCAATTAATGTCGAATTAATTCTATATATAAATTTTTTTATATTCAATGAGACAGCATCTTGTTAGAGTATATAAACAGGAGAAAAATCAATTAATGTCGAATTAATTCTATGTATACAATTTTTTTTATATTTAATGAGACAGTATCTTGTTAGAGTATATAAACAGGAGAAAAATCAATTAATGTCGAATTAATTCTATGCATACAATTTTTTTTATATTTAATGAGACAGCATCTTGTTAGAGTATATAAACAGGAGAAAAATCAATTAATGTCGAATTAATTCTATGTATAATTTTTTTTTATATTCAATGAGACAGTATCTTGTTAGAATATATAAACAGGAGAAAAATCAATTAATGTCAAATTAATTCTATATATAAATTTTTTTATATTCAATGAGACAGTATCTTGTTAGAGTATATAAACAGGAGAAAAATCAATTAATGTCGAATTAATTCTATGTATACAATTATTTTTATATTCAATGAGCCAGCATCTTGTTAGAGTATATAAACAGGAGAAAAATTAATTAATGTCGAATTAATTCTATATATAAATTTTTTTATATTCAATGCGACAGTATCTTGTTAGAGTATATAAACGGGAGAAAAATGAATTAATGTCGAATTAATTCTATGTATAATTTTTTTTATATTCAATGAGACAGCATCTTGTTAGAGTATATAAACAGGAGAAAAATTAATTAATGTCGAATTAATTCTATATATAAATTTTTTTATATTCAATGAGACAGTATCTTGTTAGAGTATATAAACAGGAGAAAAATCAATTAATGTCGAATTAATTCTATATATAAATTTTTTTATATTCAATGAGACAGTATCTTGTTAGAGTATATAAACAAAAGAAAAATAAAATATAAATAATTTACTTTTTTGAGACATATTTTTGACAAGTATGTTATAAAAAGATGAATTCTTGCATCATAAAAAAGACACATCTTTTACAATATGTACTTTATATAAAAAAATTATGCATTTTTTTATATAAAAAATTGAGATAAGAATAAAGATATCTTCTATCTCTCTAAGAGAAAAAACAATGAAGAAAGTATTTTACTAGATCTTTCTTAGCGCTGTCAAATAACTCTGATCTTTTTCGAATGAAGATTCTTTGCTTCCTATATTATCTTATAGAATATCGTTAAAAAGAGTTTCAATATTGCGAAAAGAATTCGTTAGTGTCGGTTTTTACTTGGTCAGTTGGCAAAAAGGAATAGAACCGTATTACTTTCTTTGTTGAGATTTTTTTCTCATTATGCAAAGAATTGTAATAATAAACGACGCGGACACCGTCGAGCATAATATTTTCCCAAATTCGGACAGATATATATTGTAAAATTGTAAAAATCCGTTATTCAGGAGCTCTTGATTCCCAATTTTTTGCGCGTTTAATTCTGTTAATTTTGGTGCTTTTTTACCGTTTTTTGGTATAGCCTTTTTTAAGTCAATTCTTTTTTATGCAATTTGTGAGAAAAATGGAGTATTTTTTTCTGTACGAATATATTTCACTTTGCATTCATACTTCTTAAAAAAGAAGAAAGAAGAAAAAAGAAAAGGAACATACACACACGAAAGATTGAAAAATAGCTCTTTACGGCGTTCTTTTTATGCCGCATAAAAGCTGGATCGGAGCTAATATTGATAAAATAGTACGCGGAATATTTTGAAATTCGATATTTTAATTTGTAAATAGAGTATATTATTCTCATTATTGTATTGTATTGGCGTGTAACGCCAATACAATACACTCTACAAAGGGTTCAGACGAGCCGCTTTTAATAACCCGGATACGGATGCCTCCACCTAGCAGTGTCGTATTCGGATCTTAGGTTCAGACCGACATAATCCGCAAGATAATTCCGTTCCAGGTTCTCTATAACCCCATCGTTGCATATCCTGTTACCTTTCCTTTTGCGCGTTTTCTTTCAACAGAAAAGCGAATAAGAAAATGTGGAAAATAGTTGGTTGCAGAACCATATGTTAAAAGTAGTCTCCGATTTTTGAAAAGGCTCCAATTCGATTTAAGATAGTATTTTATTTCATTTATTATATGAATAAACAAAAAAAAGGGGCCAAATATATAACAGAATTTTTTCTTTGTAGAGATATAATATAGAAAAAATATATACATGTAATTATTATATTATATTACGTATAAAATATAATATTATCAATATAATATTTATATTGATTATATTATACATGCAATATAATATTTTATAATATCAATACACAAAGTGGTAGTATGCATATTTATTTTATTATACATAATAAAATTTTTTAAAAGTTGCAAGAGATATTTTTTGAATTTGAAAATTTTTAAATTATAAAAAGAAAGGAAGAGAAATTTGTTTAGTCAAATTTAATTTATTTTTTTTTGTTTAATTTGTTAAGTCAAATTAAAATAAAATTTAATTAAATTATTATAAATTAAAATTTTGCTAAAATAAAAAATCTGAAAAAAATAAAGCTATATGTTTTTTATTTATATCCACATAGTTTATCAATAATATCTCGTGAATATATACATAAAAAGAGTTTAATAATATATATTAAAGTTTATAATATATGGTAGAGCAAGAAAGAGAATGAAACAAACTTACAGACAATTTGAAAATAGTATGGACACAAACTAAATAAAGATTTTACCAGTAGTAACTAAAAACGTTTTGACTATATAATTCTAAGTAATTTCAAAAATCAATACAGAGGGCAGTATCTGTCCATGTATCAGCTAATATCAGAGTATAATATAACCTCACTTTGATTTTACAATACGTAATTTAACGCTGTCTTAATATTTTGTGAAAAAGGTTTTGCATAGAGTTGCATATATATTTTAAATTATCAGTAAATGTGCGAGTAATCATAAAAATAAAATTCTGCAGTGTATACAATGAATTCATCTTATTGATGCATGTGTTTGATTTTTTTTAAGCTGTTGGTCCTCCTACTAATGTTTACCATGCATTTAACGAAGTTGCAAAATGTCTTCTTGGATCGGTTTATACGAATCAGCATTAATGCCACTTATTTTAATGTTTCATCAAAGACATTACTTCATATTGGGCATAATAATTACAGTACATCTCTTAGTACAAACATTACTCCAATATCTCTAAGTAATGTCACGATTAGGCAATACAGTTCAAGAGTACAAAATAATTTTTCCTGTGTGTCTTATCCACAAATGATTTCTCATATGCATAATGACAAGAAAGAGAATATAATGGGACATAAAATTTATAACAATCAGTATTATAACAATGTTAGGTGTTTTTCAAGTACTAGCATTGATTCTGTTGCTGAAACTCAAGTTCCAATGCAATTTAGTGGAATCTTTAAAACATTATCAGAAAGTACACTTGTTAAAATTGGACAAGATTCCTTATTGTGGATGCATGATTATACAGGTTTACCTTGGTGGTCAGTTATTGTACTTACCACTATTATGATGAGGACAATGATAACATTGCCACTAGCTTTGTACCAGGTAGATTTAGTGTGATATGTATTAGTATATAGATTTTTTTATAGCTGTAATATATCTGTCATCTGAATGTGTGCAATTTCAGCAATATATCTTTGCAAAATTGGAAAATCTCAAATATGAAATGGATGAAATTGTTAAAGAACTGAAAATAGAGACAAATTATGGGATACATAAGTATAATTGGCCTAAAGATTATGCTAGGCGTTTGTACAATCATTCTGTAGGTAATGTTTTTGTCTAATTTTTGTTTGTCTTAAGTTTGCAAATTAATTATAGTAATAAAATTTAATTACTATATTTAATGTAATAAATATTTGCCATTTATATTGTAGGCGAAGAAGCAGTGGAATAAATTAATTATTCGTGAAAATTGTCACCCAGCTAAAGCTAGTATATTGGTACTAGCACAGATACCTTTATGGATATCATTGTCAATGTCTATCAGAAACTTATGTTATATGTTACCTAAACAAAATGTTGGTATGTATGGCAATGTTTGGATTAAGATAAAACAGGAAAATTAATATATTTCTTATATATTTTTCCAATTAGATGCTTATACCATTTATCAGCAATTTATAACTGATGGATTTCTTTGGCTTACAAACTTAACTGTAGCAGATCCTTTTGTACTTCCTGTAGCAATGGGATTATTTAATTTAGCTATTATAGAAGTAAGTTTTTCTAATAATTGACTAGGATATTATGAAAAAAAATTTTTTAAACCAACTATTATAACATTTAATTTTTATAATTTTAATGTAATTTTGCAGATAACTTATATGAATAGGGTAAAAGAGTTAACAAAATGGAAGAAATATTTAACTTATTTCTTCAGAATTACTGCAATAGGTATGATCCCTATTGCTATGTATGTACCATCGGTAAGTTACACACAAAATTTTGTTATCAAAATAATTTAATTATATTGTAAATAAAGTGGGTTTCTAAATGCTTTTTTTATAGTGCGTGAGCTTGTACTGGGCAACTAGCAGTGCATTTGGTCTTTTTCAAAATCTAGTTCTATTATCTCCAAAATTACGTCGCTTTGCACGAGTGCCGAGAACTACTTCCGAATCACCGAATCCATACTGGTTACTACGTGAAAGGATAATATCTAGATGTCACTTTGAAAGAAAAGTTTCGCCGAAAACATAAAATTATTTTATTATGTTTTCTAACTTGTATAACCACTTGTACAAATAAATTACGAATTTTATGATATAATTTTCTTCTTAATTTTTTTTCTTGTATACACCTATTTATTCCCTCCCTATAAAAAAAGGCATGTGAAGTCGATTATCGAATGTATCGCGGTGCACTCGCATGTATCGAAGGACTCTCGAAAGTCTCGAAGTATATTGTTGCCTCTTTTCCGCGATACCGATTGATTCTTTCGTTGCGCTTCGTATTTTTTCCCAAATTTTAAAGTCTCTGATATATACAGTAACGTTAGGTCAGGACATACGATTTTTAAATATTTTTATCATCAAACTAAGGATCATTACACAGACGTATTCCTATATTTTGAACACTTTTTCATTTTTTAATTAATATCAGTCATTTAAAGCAATAATTAACTTTTTCCAAATTTTAGGTCCCAATATACGTATCATTATGTTGACACGTGATTTTTCGACATTTTTTAATATCAAACTGAGTATCATTTAATAGACATATATACAGTAACGTTAGGTCAGAACACGTAATTTTTAAATATTTTTTTTATTATCAAACTGAAGACCAATTCACAGACGTATTCCCATATTTTGAGACCCGCTCTTTTATTTTTTAATTAGTTTCAGTCATTTAAAGCGGTCAAAACTATTATTAATTAATTGAATCGACATCGATTTGACCATCATTTCTCGCTGGAAAGCTTAAAATTTCATGTAATTGTTTCATAGAATTTGGTTCTTCGTTCAGAATAAATCGCACATTTATATAAACTTTTATGTTTAAAATAATGTGTACAATTATGATCTAGAATGCTGACTATTCCTTTTGAAATACTGTATATATGTAATACAATGTTATACATATATAATGTATTTTATATTTATAGATAAAGAGATACAAATAAATATATTAAACTGTCTTAATTATACTTATTAAATATATTTTAACAATTATCTTCGTCAATTATGTTCTTCAAAAAAATATTTATTAATGATCTTTTCATGATCACATCGGCTTTTATCTTTGTACTTTTTTACTATCTTTATTTACGTATTTGTAAATGTAGATATAAATGTAAGAAACATACATTTATATATCGTACAACTTTTAACATTTTGTGCAATGCTCTATAAATATCCATGTAGTTTTCGTAATGATATAAAGCAACTAATAAGATGTTATTGCAATTCTTGATATATAATTTACGTATATATATACACATATGCATTTTGCCGCTTTAGATATTGTTGCTGATGCGCTTCAAACGAAAGATTTACATCACCTTTAGCCTTTTGCATGAACTAAAGATAACGAAAATACAAGAAGCGTGATAAAAAAAATGCAATTTATGATATTAACGAAACACTTCCTTAATCGTGTCTATCGAAGATTATATATATAAGATCAATTTCTTGGTAATCCAAGGCAATTGCGTTTAGTTGAACGGCACGATCAAAGAAGTATTCTCAAGATGAAATTTTGTGTTTTAGTTTTATTATGTTTATTAGTGCGCGCCGCGCCGTATGTAATGCCAGAATCACACGTAAGTAGTTCGTGAACGCTGATCACGCTAGTAAATAGAAAGGGGAAATTAATATCGATGTGTGAAAATTAATCAATAGTCATATAAAAGAGAAAATGCTCTTAGGGGAAATACAAATATTTCTTCTTGGATGTTTTCCGAGTAAACATTTATCTTTTTTACCATCGTTATCAAATAATGACAAATATTAATAATCATACAAATATTATATATATATATATATATAATATTTGTATGATTATTGATATTTGTCATTATTTGATAAGATAAATGTTTACTCGGAAAACATCCAAGAAGAAATATTTGTATTTCCCCTATAAGAGCATTTTCTCTTTTATATGACTATTGATTAATTTTCACACATCGATATTAATTTCCCCTTATATATATATATATATATATATATATATATATATATATAATTATGTATAAAATTGTGAAATATTGTACTTTGAATTTTGTGTACTACTGATTAAAAATAAATATTAAAAATAAATATTTGTTGAACATATTGTGACTATGATCTTATTAAAGGATTTGCTTTAGATAAAAAATGCATTTTTCATTATTTAGTCTTTCTTTTCATAGCTTTTATGGTTTTTGCTAAAGGAAATTCTTACTTTATTCATACAGCCTTTATTCTCTCCTCTTTGCCGTTGCTGGGAGCTAATCGAATAATTTATTCACTTAGGCACATGTATTGCCCTATCCGGGCGACTGCACCAAGTATCAACAATGCGATGTAAGCGGTTGCTTTGTCATGAGTTGCGGCATAGGAACAGAATTCAATCCAGCTATAAATACTTGTGATTATCCTTTGAGAGACCGATCAGGATGTAGTAATCGTGGGTGAAAACTTTGATCTACAACTTCGTTAAAAGCTAAAACTGTAAGATGCAGAATAATTTTGCAATACTTCAGTTCTATTTGAATGTATGGACATGTTTATTATAGTATTGCGCAAATAAAGTTGTGACATTAGTTTGTATTATGTCGTATTAATCATTGAATTGTTCATATATGTCATTGTCTCTCATCGCTATCAACAATCATTTCTCCGTCGCAATTTTAAATAAAAAACTAAATTGTACATACAAGTAAAAAATAAATGAAATTATTACAAATTATTTTCGCATATAAAGTGGTAATAGACGAGAAATTAATATAGAAGAATAATCTCTCGAGAATCGAGAGAGCAACTATACATCATATAATAACGCATGTGCACTACATGAAATAACGAGCAGCAATAGACGACGATTAAATAGTGGGTCCGGAGAGTGGATGCGAGAAAAGTATCACGACAGTGTGGACACGACCTTCGTTTACGCATTGAGCAGATAACCGATTTTTCACAGCTTCAGATAAACTCATCCTGCAAACTTGTGTTTTTTCCGCGTTAATTTCCGCTGTGACGATCATCTCTGTTATTAGTCTAAAATTCCCACCAGATTGCACAACGCGATCTGCAATAAATATCACAATTTTCCGATCACATTCGTGTATTTGTGGCTGAATAGCTTTCCAGAAAAGTGTTCTGTCTTGTGTGGAAAGATGTCGTCTCGATTGCTAACTCTATTGTTTCTGGTGTGCTGCTGTCACTTGATTTTTGCTGTCAAGAGAATAAGAGTAGTAAGTGTGAAATTAATTAAAATGTCTTTCTTCGAAGTGTCGCGATTTTAAAAATGACATTTGCTTTAATATGTTAAAAGAAGATTTAATTACATAAAAAAAAAGAAGGAAAATATTTATAACTTTCAAAACACATTATATATCTTTTAATGTCTTAATATTTCGCCAAAACATTTATTTCTGCTAAGTGTACAGAAAAAGATGCATTATAGTGCAGTATGATGTTTTAATGAATATATATTATCAGATTTATTACAATGCGTTTTATATAGAAAACTGTCAGATTAACTTGAAATAAAGTTGATATTAAAAAATTAATATAAAATTAAAAAAGAAGCAATAAAATAAAGTATAAAGTATAAAGTATAAATAATGTAATAAAGAAATAATAATGTAATAAAACAAGTATAAAATGTAAAAATATTTTTGTTTAAGAAACGTTATTAATATATCGAATGTTCTTCTTCTAATCTAAATTTAATACTTTTACTTATATTTTACACATTATTTTACATTAAAAATTATTGTATACTAAAATATTTTATTTGCCAGGATGGCAAGTCTTACACGGTAATGGCGTACCCAGAGGATTGCAGCAAGTACATGATGTGCAATGACGGCAAATGCATACTGCATACATGCGATCCTACCTATGTTTTTGACCCGGCTACTTCTACTTGCACCCATCGACATCGCGCAACCATCAACTGCGAACTTTCGCGAAAACTATAGATCGCGACACCAAGATCGCGAACGTATCATAAAAGCATCCCTCTTTACCTCTCGTATATGATGATATTCCCGCAGAAGCTCAATAAAACGCCGTATATAAAATGGCATATATCTCGTTCATTTGTGTGTCGGTCCCTTTATAAGACCAGCTTGTAATAATCATCAACGAGCGTCAGAAGTTTGCTCTCGCACCGTCGATTGGCAAATAGCTCTGTTTGCAGTCGTTCGTTTATTGCGTCGACTCATATGCACATGTCGGCATTTTTTTTTATTTTACGCGTGCGTGAACAGATTAAACTCCCGAGTATTCTTTCGTTCCCTGTCTCACCATTCCTTATTAGCTATATCTTTTTCATTCTTCTCTGTTACACTCGCCGAACTAAACTGAACCTCGACCTCTTTAACTGATAACCCGTCTGGTTTCCATGAATCCGAGTATTTGTTTTCTATCTGCTATCTGCTACTGAGTAAAATGGCGTCGATTGGTAATAGGACTACGATTTTACGAGGAGCCGAAGATCAGTATAGCACAATGCTCGGTGTATCGTGGAAGCATCGAAAATGATGTGTTTGAAACGTTATTTCGTGGCGTTCTGCCTCATCTGTTTATCAGTTTTTTCGACCGCGGTATGTAATAGTCGTGGCTCTTAGTGTCACATAGAATTGTTTTAATTTCCATCTTTTGTACTCAAAATTATTTAAAAACATAATATTGAATGTGAATAAGATTGATCAAACTTGGATTATAAGGCGAAAACGTTCGATGTTTTGAAAAATAATAATGTTATTATAACCGAATATAAATTCGCAGTGCAAAAATTTGTGCTAGTTTTATTATTTTTTCTAAATTATTAGCGAGAAGATTTTTATTACTTTTAAATTGATGGATTTTTTAATAAAAATTAAGGCATACACATGCTTAATTTTTACCGAGAAATAGTACATAATATAATATTAACGAGTCCAGTTTAAAAACATTTTACTTATGTTGGTTGATGGCGTATTATATAAAGATATATGTTTCAACTGTAATGCAAATTTGCAAGTTAAAAACGTGTAATTTATTTGATTGAGATTGAACATGTGTTATGAATATATCGTTCTTAATTTGTATACTTATTACACATATCACAGTGCTATAGTGCAATACAGATGTTTCAAAAATATGTGACCAAACTTTAAAAGCACGTTATCGTATGTAAAAATAAAATCGTATAATATATATAATCGTATGTAAAGATAAAAAGAAATCATATAAACATATATGTCCTATTATTCCAAATTATAATCACTTTTTATTTTCGAGAGAAAAAAAATGCGTCGCATCGATTTCTTATGGATTGTCCTAATCTCCTTCTATTTCAAGTAAACAATAATAATATTTGTTATCGGGTGAGTCATCCATTTATGGAAACATCTTAACACTCGTTTATATAATACTTCTAATGATGCTACTGTGGAACTACTGCGAAAACGTATTACTTCTTCGTACGATAAAATACAAAATATTACGAGAAATTTTAAATATCTTTGACAATGAATGAGATATCGATGCGAGGTACAAATTGATGCGGAAGGAATCTTTTTAATAAAATGTTTTTATTAAAGTTTTTATTGTAAATAAAAAGTATTCATATAATTAGGAATAAAGTTTCTAGATTATATTCACATAATTTAAAATATAATAACATAAAATATATTTCTAGATTATGTTCATATAATTTTTTTTTAATTGTTACAGTGAGTAGAATATACTCTAAAAGTTTAACAACCTGTTTCTGAAATATTCTGTATAATTATTTAATTCGTTATTATTGTTATTTAATATAAATAATTATTTGAAATACAACAACGTTTCGGCTGTCATGGCAGCCCTTTTCAAGTACATCTATAAAAAGTTCAATCAAAATAATTATAATTTAATACACTTATTCGCAACAATTAATTATACATTTAAATACAAAAATGTGTTACATACCAAATTTAAAACAATAAATCAACTTCTATGCAAACTACCGACAATGTTAACGCTTGTTTTGATGAACAATGTAAGACTGACAGAAGTAAGCACATATTAAATAGATGTTAACTGTTCACAAGAATCTTAGTCACTAAGCGTTAAGAAGATAGAGACGAAACTAAATGTGTCTTTCGTAATTTAAATCGTCATAATAAAGTCAAATAAATAAAAATAAATAAATAGGTGGATATAAAAATAAAATTAAAAGTAAAAATAAATATAAAACGACTTAAATAACGTCAAGAACACGATCATAAATCCCACTGAAATTCTCCGTATCTTTCTGTAAATTAATACTTTTTCCTTGTTTTTTTATGTAAAACATTTCTGCAATTTCTCTTTTTCTTGTCTGTTTTTCCTCATGCAGAATCACCGGAGAATCCCAACGGAACTCATGATCGTTGCAAGTCCGATGTAAACTAATGACAGAATGCAATGTCTTGTCTTTTTTTTATGTTATTTCTATGTTCTTTAATGCGCGTTTCTAAATTCCGTTGGGATTCTCCGGTGATTCTGCATGAGGAAAAACAGACAAGAAAAAGAGAAATTGCAGAAATGTTTTACATAAAAAAACAAGGAAAAAGTATTAATTTACAGAAAGATACGGAGAATTTCAGTGGGATTTATGATCGTGTTCTTGACGTTATTTAAGTCGTTTTATATTTATTTTTACTTTTAATTTTATTTTTATTTTTATATCCACCTATTTATTTATTTTTATTTATTTGACTTTATTATGACGATTTAAATTACGAAAGACACATTTAGTTTCGTCTCTATCTTCTTAACGCTTAGTGACTAAGATTCTTGTGAACAGTTAACATCTATTTAATATGTGCTTACTTCTGTCAGTCTTACATTGTTCATCAAAACAAGCGTTAACATTGTCGGTAGTTTGCATAGAAGTTGATTTATTGTTTTAAATTTGGTATGTAACACATTTTTGTATTTAAATGTATAATTAATTGTTGCGAATAAGTGTATTAAATTATAATTATTTTGATTAAACTTTTTATAGATGTACTTAAAAAGGGCTGCCATGACAGCCGAAACGTTGTTGTATTTCAAATAATTATTTATAATAAATTATTGCCAGTCTGGTCGACTTTAAACATTGAGGAGTGGTTTTTTATTAATTATTACTGGCAACCTTAAGGATTATTATTTATTGTTATTTAAATTTATATGGGTATAACTTTTTTATAATATAATGTATTTTTGAAGACGTTCACGCAATGTACAATGATTTCAGTTTAACTATTATGCTTTCAAATGAGATATCGATTTAAACATACTATTATCATATAATTTGTTTATATCTTAATTTTTAGTTAGATAAAACGAAACAAGCATGCACTATTATATTAATAAATAATTATTAAATACTAGCTTTTCGGACCGCGCGAAGCGCGGTCCGAAAAGCCTTTCTATTCGGACCGCGCTTTGCGCGGTCCTCATATAGCCTATATTAAATCCGTTTTAACACAAAAATTAATTCTTTTTTTGTATTACCGCGAACTACTTCCACATTTGTTGTCCGACTTTCACGAAATTTATATCAAAATAAATGTTTAAATTTTTTTTGGATGACTACTATGTTATCTATTTCTTTCTCCCAGATATTTTATTTTACACCGCGTTTTGCATATATTTAAATATTTATTATATATTTTTATTTTTATTTTCTTGTTTATTTTAATTTCTACACAATTTCATATTTTTAAATATAAAACATTATTTTAGTTAATATATACTTTAAATATTTTTTTTATTACTTAATTATTATATCCTTTTTTACATTTTACTCAATTTTTTTAATTTCTAATGTACCCACCGCTAACCCGCTATTATTAGCTCTCATACAATGTCATAATTCTTCAATTTACAAAATTTCCCTGTATATTACATTTTTTGTAAAACATTTTTCACTTTAATCACAAACACGTACACAAATTTTTTAAAAATTACTTCTTGGTGTGACCAAGTCAATAAATGCGTATGCACATGGGTGCGTGGATACGTGGGTGGGTGCGTGGGTGGATAAATAAAGTGATAAAAATTTGTTAAAATCATATAGTAGCCATCCCGGACAAAATTTGAGTACAAATTTCGAAAAAGTCTGTGAATAAATGTTTGAATGCGTGGGTGGATGCATGGGTGGGATAAAACTTAAAAGAACCACACAGCAGCTTTCTCAAAAAAATTTGCAACATTTTTGTACCAATTTCGTGAAAATTGGTCCATAAATGCGCATGCGTGTGGGTGAATGCGTGGGTGGAGGTGTAACACTTGAAAAAACCACATCGTCGCCATCTCCAAAAAATTTGCAACATTTTGTTACCAATTTTTACAAAAATCCGTTCATAAATATGCGATTGCGTGGGTGGATGCGTGGGTGGGGGCGTAAACCTAAAAAACCCACACAGCAGCTTTCTCAGAAAAATTTGCAACATTTTTGTACCAATTTCGTGAAAATTGGTCCATAAATGCGCATGCGCGTGGGTGGGTGCGTGGGTGGAGGTGTAACACTTGAAAAAACCGCATCGTCTCCATCTCCAAAAAATTTGCAACAATTTGGTACCGATTTAAAAAAAATCGGTTCATAAGTATGCGATTGCGCGGGTGGGTGCGTGGGTGGAGGCGTAAACTTAAAAAACCCACACAGCAGTTTCCTCAGAAAAATTTGCAACATTTTGGTACTAATTTCGTGAAAATTGGTCCATAAATGCGCATGCGTGTGGGTGGATGCGTGGGTGGATGCGTGGGTGGAAGTGTTACACTTAAAAAAACCGCATCGTCGCTATCTCCAAAAATTTTGCAACATTTTGATACCATGTGTTCAGAAATATTGCAAAAAAAATTTTTTTCGCAAAAACGTACCCTCCTCTAAAAAAAAAAATGAAAATAAAAAATTAAAAAAAAAAACCCACAGCAGCCACCCCCGAAAAATTTGCAACATGTTGGTACCAATTTCGAGACAATCGGTCCACAAATGCGGAAGTAGTTCGGGTACAGACAGACAGACAGAGAGACGGACGGTGCTTATATATATAGACTAGCTTTTCGGACCGCGCTTCGCGCGGTCCTCAAAGCCAGCCTTTCTATTCGGACCGCGCTTTGCGCGGTCCTCATATAGTCTATATTAAATCCGTTTTAACACAAAAATTAATTCTTTTTTTGTATTACCGCGAACTACTTCCACATTTGTTGTTCGACTTTCACGAAATTTATACCAAAATAAATGTTTAAATTTTTTTGTGGATGACTACTATGTTATCTATTTTTTTCTCCCAGATATTTTATTTTCTTTTTTTAAGACACGCTTTCTCTCTCTCTCACTCTAAAACACACGCGCTCCCTCTCTCTCTCTTTAAGACACATGCTCTCTCTCTCCTTATCTCTCTCCCTCCCTCTTTCTTTAAGACACACGCTCTCTCTCTCTCTCTCTCTCTCTCTCTCTCTCTCTCTCTGTGTGTATGTGTGTGGGGTTTTTTAAGTTTACGCTTTCACCTACGCATCCACCCACACAATCGCATATTTATGAACGGATTTTTTAAAAAATTGGTACCAAAATGTTGCAAATTTTTGGCGACGATGTGGTTTTTTCAAGTGTTACACCTCCACCCACACGCATGCGCATTTATGGACCAATTTTCACGAAATTAGTACCAAAATGTTGCAAATTTTTCTGAGAAAGCTGCTGTGTGGTTTTTTTAAGTTTTATCCCACCCACGCATGCATCCACGCATTCACACATTTATTCACATACTTTTTTGAAATTTGTAGTTAAATTTTGTTGGAGATGGCTACTATGATTTTAACAAATTTTTATCATCCTATTCATCCACCCACGCACCCATGCACCCATTTGCATACGCATTTATTGACTTGGTCACACCAAGAAGTAATTTTTAAAAAATTTGTGTACGTATTTGTGATTATGTGTGCAATTCGTGTAAATAAACCTTTAATTTGTATGCAATTTTCACGAAATTAGTACCAAAATGTTGCAAATTTTTGCAATCACAAACATGTACACAAATTTATTTAAAATTACTTATTGGTGTGACCAAGTCAATAAATGCGTATGCACATGGGTGCATGGGTGCGTGGGTGGATGAATAGGATGATAAAAATTTGTTAAAATCATAGTAGCCATCCCCAACAAAATTTGAGTACAAATTTCGAAAAAGTCTGTGAATAAATGTGTGAATGCGTGGGTGAATGCGTGGGTGGGATAAAACTTTAAAAAACCACACAGCAGCTTTCTCAAAAAAATTTGCAACATTTTTGTACCAATTTCGTAAAAATATTGGTCCATAAATGCGCACGCGCGTGGATGAATGCGTGGGTGGAGGTGTAACAATTGAAAAAACCACATCGTCGCCATCTTCAAAAAATTTGCAACATTTTGGTACCAATTTTAAAAAAATCGGTTTATAAATATACGATTGCGTGGGTGGGTGCGTGGGTGGAGGCGTAAACTTAAAAAAATAAAACACCAGCTTTGTCAGAAAAATTTGCAACATTTTGGTACTAATTTCGTGAAAATTGGTCATAAATGCGCATGCGCGTGGGTGGGTGCGTGGGTGGAGGTGTAACACTTGAAAAAACCGCATCGTCGCCATCTCCAAAAAATTTGCAACATTTTTGTACCAATTTCGTAAAAATATTGGTCCATAAATGCGCACGCGCGTGGATGATTGCGTGGGTGGAGGCGTAAACTTAAAAAAATAAAACACCAGTTTCCTCAGAAAAATTTGCAACATTTTGGTACTAATTTCGTGAAAATTGGTCCATAAATGCGCATGCGTGTGGGTGGATGCGTGGGTGGATGCGTGGGTGGAGGTGTTACACTTAAAAAAACCGCATCGTCGCTATCTCCAAAAATTTTGCAACATTTTGATACCATGTGTTCAGAAATATTGCAAAAAAAAAATTTTTTCGCAAAAACATACCCTCCTCTGAAGAAAAAAATAAAAATAAAAAAATTAAAAAAAAAACCCACAGCAGCCACCCCCGAAAAATTTGCAACATTTTGGTACCAATTTCGAGACAATCGGTCCACAAATGCGGAAGTAGTTCGGGCACAGACAGACAGACAGACAGACGGACGGTGCTTATATATATAGATTAAATTAATCCCTCTCTCTCTTTCTCTCTCTCTCTCTCTGCCTCTCCCTCCTCAATATTATATATAATAATATAATATTATAAATAAATATTATGTAATATAATCATTTTTTGCAGTAAAACAGAAAGCTCGATGGGCAAGAGCCGGAAGAGGTACCAATTTAAAAAAAATCGGTTCATAAATATACGATTGCGTGGGTGGGTGCGTGGGTGGAGGGGTAAACTTAAAAAAATAAACCAGTAGTTTTCTCAAAAAAATTTGCAACATTTTGGTACTAATTTCGTGAAAATTGGTCCATAAATGCGCATGCGCGTGGGTGGATGCGTGGGTGGGTGCGTGGGTGGGGGTGTAACACTTAAAAAAACCGCATCGTCGTTATCTCCAAAAAAATTTGCAACATTTTGATACCATGTGTTCAGAAATATTGCAAAAAAAGATTAAACATACCCTCCTCTGTAGAAAAAAAAAAAAAATTACAAAATTAAAAAAAAACCCCACAGCAGCCACCCCCAAAAAATTTGCAACATTTTGGTACCAGTTTCACGAATATCGGTCCACAAATGCGGAAGTAGTTCGCGTACATACATACAGACAGACGGTGCTTATATATATAGATATTTTATTTACTCATTTGTATGTAATCATACTAACAATAAATGTATAATGACTTCATTTAGCCTTGAATGAACTTTATAATAAACTATAATAAATTTTATATATCTAAACTTTAGTGTATCTTTATAAATTTTGGCAATAAAAATTGAGACTATGATTGATTTTCTTTGGTCGATTTCTGCTATCGCAGATCTATGATCCAAGAGCGACAACCACAAAACCACCAGAGCGTCGTGAATCAGTTCTTCCTTGGCATTCGACTGATAATCAATCGCGCATTCAAATAGAATCTCATTCTCTAAAATGGCAACAACAATCACGGGACAACATTACATCTGACACGAAGAATTGGAGTCCATGGCGAAAAGCTCAGAGCAGCGAAATTGAACAACGAACACATATTGATGGTGAATATTACGGTTCTAAGCAAAATCCTGAGCAAATTTCTGCAAAAATTCCTGAGCAGCAACGTACCTTGGAATTTGATAAATCGGAGCAACGAGAAAATCTAAAACCTCCTATTGAATACAGAGATTTGACATTTTTCGATAAAAATCGTGGACATGTTAAAAATGAATCAAAATACGGAAATCGACCTCAAAATGAAATTGATTTCGAGCATAAATATTCACCGAGAAATGATGAGACAAAGGAAATAAATGTGGGATTTCAAAATGAAGATTTGTACGAAGGTGTAGCTATTGATAGCACGGTAACTTTTAAAATTTCTAAGCAGATTTGTTTTTATTTATCAATTAGAATTTTGTGTTTGTATATTTTCAAAAAATTATGCAAGCTTATAATTTTGTTCACAATCTCTTTATCTAAACATATGAGAAGTTTTAACATTATTTTTGCTGTTGGCTACATCCTTAAAAAAGATATAATAATATAAGAGAGAAATATAATATAATATAAAAATAGGAGAGAAAACTTTAAATTTATATGTTACAGATTTTATTTTATGATATTTTTTAGACATTTAATAACAAAGATATAGAAGAAATTCAATTTTTTCAAAATTTAATTTATATTAATTTTATTTTTTTTGTATAGAAACCACGAAAGGAAAATATAGTTCTTTCAAGTAAATCACATCACAAAGTGGCTAGATATGATCCTCGATTTGGCGTTCAGTGTCCTGATCACGATTCCACAGGGCAATTTGTTCATCCGTTAGATTGCAAGTTCTTTGTCAATTGCTGGCAAGGTCGTGCACATATCCAACCATGTGCTCCGAATACCCATTTTAATCCGGATACCTTAGAGTGTGACTTTCCACATAAAGTGAAATGCTATGAGCATAAATATAAATCCGCCGATTTCAAACAGTCGTTAGACCCTGAACTGGAGATTAATCGAAAATCGCAAAAATTGACGAATGTGAGTACGTTGACGGTATATGTCTTCTTTGTTATCATGTATATTAATTTTTAATATATTGCGCGATTATTTGGTGCTTACTAGGATCCAAAATGTCCACCGTATTTGATTGGTTTGTTACCACACCATGCAAATTGCACAAAGTTTGTGCAATGTGCACATGGTGCGACTTACATTATGGATTGCGGCCCTGGAACAGTCTTCAATCCTGTTAACGGTGTGTGTGATTGGCCACGAAATGTAAAAGGTTGCGAAGGTAATGAAAATAATTTTTTTTATGAAAAAATGATTCGGTGACATAAAATAATGATTTAAATCTCTTGCATTATAAATAGATACTTTTAAATCTGACGACGATGACAAAATAGCACTTGCTTCTTCAATTTTGCGCTCTGGACGCGATAAGTTAGCTTATACAGAAGTAAAAAAAAAAATTACATGCCCTACGGATTTTACTGGATTATTAGCTCATCCAGAGACGTGCAAAAAATTTCTTCAATGTGCAAACGGCGCTACTTATATAATGGACTGTGGTCCTGGAACAGCTTTTCATCCTATTACGCTTGTTTGTGATTGGCCGCACAAAGTGCCCGGTTGTACAGGTATCGTATATTTATTATTATACGTATATATGTATATTTTTAAATAATATAAATAATTTTAATCAATAAATAATGCGGCATTTTTCTTAATACAATTTGTGATTATATTTTTAATATTTTGATGAAAATTTTACATTCCATAATTACTCTAATAATTAATATTAAAAATAAAATCATACAGTCAATTATCAAATATTTTATTAAAATGTTTTTAAACAATATTTTCTAAAATAATCTATTGTAAAAATAATTGTAATGTATAATATCTGTATTACAGATAAATCTGTTGATGAAACTTATAGAACAGGAGCTCGTACTTGGTCATCATCTGAAACCGGAGGTCGCTATAATTATACAACTCGTGATCGTATTGTTCAACCGAGATATAGCACAACAATGAGACCGACATATAGACCATGGAAATTATTTACGACAACTCCGAATCCACGTTGGTATCCAACGTGGACGACCGCGAGATCATATGATCGTTCTGAGCATACTTCTGATCATCATGATCATTACGGTCACGAACGTGAAGAAGACCGCTACAAAGATCATGGCTCGCATCATCCAGAATGGAAACCAAGTAGAAGTTTCGGACGTCCTTCCGATACCAATTACGAATCTCAACATCATTCGGATCGGCAACAAGTGGAATATCAGGGAAATGATCAAGAATCACAAGGAACTCAACATCCCGATCATCCAGAAGGATCATGGCCGCATGGCTATTACCCTCCTGGTTTCCATCATCATCATCATCACCATCATCATTATCACAATTATGGACCTACATCGAATTCTTCGGAAAGTACAAATTGGGCTAATCCGACTGCTACGAGTGATCAACAATATAATCAAGGACATTATGCTCCAAATACTGATAGTAACTGGCGACCTAATTATAATTCTCACCATTATGATCATCATTATTTTGAACATGGTGCACCAAACAAAACAGATCAGAGGCAGTTTCAACCTCCTGGGAGATATGACGAAGATAATATACAGCTTTACGATAGAGATAATAAAACAAAGTTTGACACCGACGGAAGTATGCCAGAAAATCGAAAAACTGGTTATAACTTTCCTTTGAATAGACAAAATTATGGTAGAACGACTCCTGGGCTTTATTATCCTAGTTTTAATCGTACTTCTCCATCTGTTGGAAATATTTTTCTAAATAGTAATAAATCAACTGAGAGTTGGGATCAAATCCAGGATGGACTGCGGCAAGACAAACTACCTCCTCCTTCGAAAGGACAAGAAAATATCGCGTGGAATCAGCCAAATAGATCTAATTTCAAACCAAGTACGTGGCATGGTCAAGAAAATCGAGGAAAAGTGCAAACGGAAAATCAGACATATCCGTGGGATCAAGGTAAATAAAAATTAATATTTGTTCATTATTTTAACAAATTCCTGATGCGACACATCTTCATATATCTTTATATATAGAATTATTCTATTTATAAGAATAAAATATTTTATGTGATTGCAATTATTATTTTAGAAATATTTTTTATTTATTATTATTCATTATTAGTACTTTTAAGAAAGTTAAAAGATAAATTATTATCGATAAATAATAAAATAATAACGTAGTTTATAGCGATTATAAAATGTGTCGTGCAAAATTTACTAGTAAATATTTGCACGTTGCATGAGTTAATTTTGCAAATAGTTATACAAAGCTTGTTGCACAATGTATTATAATGTGACATTAATTCAATAAACAATGCAATAAAATATAATACAAAAAAGGACGAAGATATTCTTTAGTGGTTAAATGCATGAATTATAATCGCACGAAAGTTGATGCATGAAAGTTATGTCGCATGTTGTAAATATAGTAAATATACATTTTTAAAAATCTAATAAATCTACAGATATTGTATATTAAAAATTATACACAACATTATATAATTAAAATAATTAACGCTCTTAAATGTAAAACAAAAAATCTTAAAGGACCAATATAAGAGCTAAAATTAGCTCTTATAATAATGCGAAATTTTTATATATCTATTTATATTAAAAGTAATATTTTTGAAATTAAATTTATTGTATTACTAAATATGAGTGAAAGCTTAATGTTTCGCAGGCGTGGTTAATCGGCCTACTAAATCGTACTCACAAAGTGATAGAGAGGCGGATGCAAAAATGTCAGAGTGGGCAACAAGAACAAATATCTTTTTAAATTCAAAAAACCAAGAAAATTTAGGTCAGTAAATAGATATCATAAATTTTAATTATTATTTTAATTATTTGACAATAAATACATATTAAATGTAAAATTATATATATGCTGATTATTTATAATAAGATACTTATTTTACTCAAAATGTTTTATAAGTTATACTCATAATACTAATTTGTTACAGAACCTAAAACTACAACACAATATCCAAGAACAAACTTTTATCCAAATGGTATATATGTCAATACAGGAAATATAAAAGGTCATTATATTACAAAAGAAATTGATAATAATGAACGACGTGTGATAATCCATGATGTTCGGAATCCTGTCCGCTGGAATAATACTTTCAGTAGTATACTTTAATTATGATATGATATGTCCTTAAAAGTTGAAATTATCATTACTTTTATTTTATTTTATTTATAATTGTGTCAATTTTTTTTCATTTAACAATCAAACATATATTTTTATTTTATTATTAATTTTTATGTAATTTATATATTCTAAATACTATTAATGATACAATTTTTAAATATTTTGTGCACATAATACAATAAACACTAACGATCATTTATTATTGCCTAGAACTATATTTTAACCATGTTGTTCAAATTTTAGTAATTTGTCCGGTAATAATAATAATTATATATATTTTTAATTGATAATTTAAGAATTTCTCTAAATGTTTTAAATTTCTCTAAACTGGACAAAATATTTCTCTTTTAATAGACACTGATAGTAATTATGCGTCATTTACAACGAAAGTGCCAATGATAACGACGACGGAGAGAATTTCAAATAGGCAATCTGAGTTATCAACAAAAGGAAGAAATTTTGCAAATACTAGGAATAATGTAGAAAGAGAATTACGTAGCTTCGATACCAGCAGCGAATTGTATAAACCTGATGTTTTATTTGAAGAAGATGATAATTATTGGAGCGACACGAAAATAAGTAACGTACATTCTGGTCCCCCGAGTGTTGTTGAACCCGAGATAAATGATTACGACGTGGATGTGTTAGATGATAAAAATGTATGGAAGCCCAGGCTAGTTTTCGAAAATAAGACCGAAACCACGACGACTTCATCGGTCATTATGAAAATTAACCCGAAGAATACTGATGTTGAACTTTTTAATATCGAAGCGGCACCATATCAGGAAGGTAAGTTGAGGATTTAATTTGACGCAGATCTATTTTTATGTCTTTTTATGTAATAAATGGTCGAAAAATAAATTTGGTAAGTTATTCTTCCATCTTTAAATAATTTTTTTTATAATTGGCTTCTTGTTTATTGTCGTGCCACAAAGTATTATATAATATCAAAATAATTTTTTTACTATAAATAAAGCTTTTGTAAAAAAAAATACATATAAAATGATCATTTTTTATTACAAAGACATTCCGACGTGATCGAAAATCTAGAATTAGAAATTAGCAACAAAAAGATTTCGATTGTTATCAACTTAGACTATGTTTCTCATATATTAAATGCTTCAAACATTTATATCATATATTCAATGTGTGCACTAAAGATATTTCATTTTACTTTATATAGTAATTATTTATTGATGTTATATATAATACTAAAAGAATTATGGCACACTGTAACTATTTTTATTTTAATCAATAATTTTTTTTTATTTATCAATACAGTGTTGTGTAATCAGCTTTGCTCTTTGCATGTATTTTTATGCTTTTGCATGATTGTAATTAATTCTATGGAAGCATTAACATCTACATAACTTTGCACTTTACAACAACAACAACAATGCCAACTGTTATACTGGCTTTTTTAAGCAAATTGTAATAACTAAAGGAAACATAAATGAAATTTGTTTTATTCTTTTTAAGCGGAACCTCCATTTCCAGTTTATTATGTACAATCAGTGCAGCCATTAACTCATTCGAAGAAATTCGTTCGACCAACACCTATATCTGGTCAGGTAAAGGCATCTATTTCTGTTGTAAAGGCGAGTTGCAAAAATTATTAAATTATAATAAAATAACATTAATTATATAGGTGGTTCGTTTGAGAGGTGGTTCAGCACCTAATGATGGCTATGTTGAAGTGCAAGGTATGCTGCCTGGTTGGGGCATCGTATGCGATTCCAGAAATAGTTGGACATTGAAAGAAGCTCATATTTTGTGTAGACAACTTGGCTATATCAGGTACATAAAATGAACATTGACATTACATTTTAAAAGTTATGTTAAATTTTTTTCTGAAAATCTAGATTCTTATACATTATTTAAGTATATAAACGTATTTATACACATGTATGTATTTACAGTGATATTAAATGTCTACCCTTATATGGGTAGACATTTAATGTATATCCTTATGTGAATTTCTCATGTCATTATCATGATTTCCTATTGAAATCAATCTTTCTTCTTTTCTCTATTTTGCTGCGCTCATCTAAATTTAATTATTAAACAAATAAAAAAAGGTTATTACTTATTTATTAAATGTTTTTAATAAAAAAATTTCTAATTGATGAATGAAATTTTATTATCAATTTTTTATTATAATTTTTAAATTCTTTGTACTACTTTTACACTCATCACAATAAAATAAGAACTATACAGAAAAGCGTGATATAACATCATACAAATCTTTTGTTTATTAGAGGCGCTGAAATGGCTTGGCAAGGCAGAAATAATCGCAATGGAGTGCCAACTTGGATCGCTGCGAATACTGTAACGTGTCTCGGCAATGAGACCAAATTTCAATCATGCAAGTAAGATACGCATTGTCAGAGATTTACAAAATTTTTTTTATTGGGTAGATATATGATCAAGTAATAAAAATTTCTCGTGACTGTAGTAAAATATTTATGATTCATGTTTTACTTTTTCTTAAATTTGTAATCATTTTTTATTTACAATCTTTGTCATTAAAAAAAAAGATTATAACAAAAATCTTTGCGTTAAAATATACCGTGATAATTATGATACTTAGATTCACACACAATCAAGAGTGCCGTGTGGACAGAGATGCGATTGGTGTACGATGTGCTCCTAATCGTATAGCACACTGTCACAAGGATGAGATACCGCATAACGGACACTGTTATCACTTAGCTCATCCTGACAGCGGACTCAATCAAGCCGAAGCATTGGAACACTGTACACGAAGAAATGCGCGACTTGTTGATATTACTAGCCAGGCGGAAAATAATTTTGTGTCCGAATTGCTATTGCAATCGTATCCGGAAGTTAATTCAATCATGACTTCCGGTTTTGGTTTTACCACAATGAATCGAACCTTGTGGCTGTGGGCGGATTCCGCGCATGCTAAATTCAAGTACGATTATCATGTTCTTAAAGCGCTAATTTTTTACTTAATTTTAATTAATTTTACTTAATTTTTATTAAATCGATTTTTTTTTAATTTTATTGCTCTGGTATAAAATTATGAATTTTTAATCGAATTATGCTTTTTCTTATTTTAAATTTTTTATGAAACATTTTGTTAGATTTACAAAGTGGTGGCCTGGATGGATGAATGATACGAAACAACCACCGTGGGTAGGCTATCGTCCTTTTTGTATCGTGATGAAACGACAATTTCCATGTTATGAACGGTCTGAGTCGACGTGTGATACAGATTATTTTTTCTGGGACACTGAAGATTGCGCAACTGATTCGAAAGGGCATTCCTTTATTTGCAAAAGACCTTATGACGATATTGGTACACATATATATATATATATATATACATATATACAAAATATAAAAAGTTGCATAAGTTTATATATAATATAACGACATTCCGTTTTTTCATATATTATAAAAGAAATAATTTATATAGATATGTTATTAAATTTTTCTAAATCCTATTTAATTTGATTTCAAAATTAACAATTTCTAATACAAAATAATATTTTTTTATAATACATATTTGGCGATAAATATTTGAATGCTGAAACAACTATACTCTATAAATTTTATTCTTTCGTTTGTCTAGGCTGCGTATATGGAAAAGGAAATCAATACAATGGTAAAGCCAACGTAACGATATCAGGAAATAAATGTCTTTCATGGGCCGATGAAAGAATTGCATATCAATTATATATGAATGTAAGTTTGCTGTTATAATACGTCAAAAATGTTCATTGAATTTAAATGCAATCTCATTTTTATTATCATAGGTCGTTGATAAAGAAGTTCGAAACAAACTGAAAACGCATAATTACTGCAGAAATCCTAATCCAGGAAAAGAATCGAGACCGTGGTGTTTTATAGGACCTGGAAAATATGAATATTGCGATATTCCTGCCTGTGGAAATATTGGTATATATTTGCAGTATTAATGGAATCAAATTAATACATCATCAAGAAAACGTTGACAAAATAAATATTATAATAAAGAGATACATAATATGAATAAAGTAATTTTATATTATTTTTTAGATCCAAAACGGTCAACGTTGACTGGCCAATGCAAACCTAAACATTTCGAATGTATGCCAGAAGAATGTATTCCATCCCCATGGGTTTGCGATGGAGAAGAGGTGAGATATAGACGATTTTATCCGCACACATTTATTTAATATGTACACGGCATAAAAAACTCATTATCTATTCCATTTTTTTTTCTAATTTTCTCGACAATATATGCAAAGAAGAATAATGGCTAACAAACATTGTAAAAATTTGTCTAGAAATTGTTCTGTTATTAAAATTGCGAAAGAGTTTTTAATTAAGCTTTTTTAAATAATTTTTTGTGCAGTCCTCCAGTATACAATTTTTAGTTTGTAAGAATATATCGAGTTAATTAAAATATTCTTCTATAATAAAAATATATCTACTTGAGATATTAAATAAAAAAATTTTTTTTTAATATAAGTCTTTTAATTATATTTATTTTTCTACTTTAAAACATATATTTATTTGAAAATTCAAACATACATTGAAATTATAATCAATATAATGTGTTTAATGCAATTTAGGATTGTACAAACGGGGCCGATGAAAGAAATTGCATGTTGGATCTTAATCTCTTTAAAAAATCAGTCAAACATAAACTTGACGGCCACGATATGGAAAAATGGTTGAACACACCGTTGAAAACTTGTGCTCTAAGATGCAAGGAAGCCGATTTTACTTGTCGCTCATTTAATCACAAGTTTGTATAAAAATTATTGTCATTTATTAATTTGCTACAATCATGTTGAAGAAGATCTCTTATTAAAAACTGACAGATACACATACATACATACGCACACACAGATATGTGTATGTGTATAATTAACAATTTACCATTAATTATTTTCACATTCTAGTAATGTGATAAACAAGGGAGTTTTTTTTATAATAGCATAATTTATATAAACGTTTTACGAGAATAAAATAGATTTTTTTACTTGAACTTGATGATATTCATATATACGTAATTACTCTACATAGCTTAATTAGTGCTTTATTTTTTATAGTGGAGTATAATTGTATGTTTATATATATTTATATATTCTGTTTAAGATCCGATGGTAATGTGTGTTTATTGAGTAATGCCAACATTGGTTTGACTGGTGCACTTAAGCCTGACAAACACTTCGATTATTACGAACTGAGAGAGAGAAGCATAGACTGTAGCGACATGTATATCTGCAATAATCACAAGTGCATAAATCAAACACAAATCTGCGATGGCAGGAATGATTGCAATGATCACAGTGATGAGACTATCTGCACTGCCGAAAATCTTGATTATGATATTCGTTTGGCTGGTGCAAATAACACTTATGAAGGTCGAATAGAAGTAAAAAGTGAGTACATATACTGCAAAAATAAATAAAATAGATTAAAAAAATATATATATATACATTTTTTACATATACATCTTTTACGAAAAAAATTGCAAGAAAATATCAAAATTAAATATTTTAAAAGTCAAATCTATTTTTTGTATTTTTTTACATCGTAAATTTAATCGATATCTCGAACAGTTTTAGGACACTGGGGACAGGTATGTGACGATGGTTTTGGAATGATCAATGCTGACGTCATTTGTCGAGAGCTCGGTTTCGATCTCGGAGCTTTGGAAGTTAAAGCGGGTGGATTTTATGGAAATCTCGATCCACCTACGAGATTCATGGTGGATCAGTTGAAGTGTCGTGGAAACGAAACTACACTACGAGAATGCGATTTTAACGGGTACGTAATAAAATTTTTTTTTATTTTTTATATTTAACTTAAAAGTCACACATTATCGCTACTATTATTAAAAAATAAATAGCTGAATTATTTTTGTTCTCAGATGGGGAATTCACAATTGCCAACCGGAAGAAGCTGTCGGCATCGTATGTAAGACCGCGGTTAATACCTGTCAGGAAGGTTATTGGAAATGCGATAATAGTCCAACTTGCATACCGACCACGTTCATTTGCGACGAGGTAGTCGATTGTCCAGATCGCTCCGATGAGAGTCCGGAACATTGCGAGGTAAGTTAGAATGACAAAAATAGATGTGCAGATCTTGATACGACCTCAATTTCAGGCTCCGTTTGAGTTGCGCTTGGCAAATGGCAGCAGTCCTTTGCAAGGGAGGGTAGAAGTGCGTCATCACGGTGTATGGGGTACTGTATGCGATGATGATTTTACAAATGCCACGGCAATTGTTATCTGTAGATCTTTGGGATATGGTGGTATTGCAATCGCCAAGAAAGATGGTTTCTTTGGACCAGGCCAAGGACCTATTTGGCTTGACGAGGTGACACATTTATAATTTATAACTGTTATATTTAACTGTCTTTTATAAATAATTTTAGTAATAATTAATTTGATGAAAAAAAGTAATAATTAATAAATATATATATAAAGTTATTTCTCTTACTTTTGTAAAATAGGTTTTCTGTCATGGAAATGAATCGCAATTATATCGATGCGAACATAATCACTGGGGCCAGCATAATTGCGATCATAATGAGGACGCCGGTGTAATTTGCTCACCAGGAAATGTTAACAATGCCGAGGTAATTTAAAACAAATCTTTAGTCGTTGTATTTTGATTGTTAATTGTTAAATGTTAACGATTGAAAATCGTTTTTCCTTATTAGATTGTTTTTATAAATAACAAATAATCAATATTAGTAACAAATTACAAATAATAAATATTAGTGACTAAGAATTTAGTAAGGCTTTTAATGTGAAACACGAATTTTTAATTTCGGGCTAGAAATACTAGATTTCGATAGATAGAATAAATATTAGATTCGGATAGATATAAAATAAATATTAGATTCGGAATATTTTATTTGAAAAATGTTTAAAGAATAAAATATATAATACTCTTGTGTAAGTCAACAATAATTGCAATTTTTGCGACAATTTTAAAATAAACAATATTTTAAAACATTTGTTTAATTCGTCTATTTATTGATCCTGATTTTCCGTTTTATTGAACAGTCATACTGGCTAAACAACCTGGAACTTCCAGAACCAAGTATCGACGAGTTACTTCCGTCAAATTGTGGTCAACGCGCCAAAGATTTTAATGACGACGAGGACTTGATATTTCAGAAAGTAGTGCATGGCTCTATTGCGCCAAAAGGCACCTATCCTTGGCAGGTAAATAAATTTTAAGATAACTATAATAAAAGAAATTATTATTATGTTTTATCTAATCATAAATATTTTATAATATAATTAAAATAAATACTGCATCTCGAATATATAAAATTTTATCTTGGTCCCAAAATTTTACTGACCTCGAGGACTAAGAAATTATAGAAACTTATTACAATTGACAAAAAAAATTAGGCCAGCATACGAGTCCGAGGACATAGTCGGTCAAGTCATTGGTGCGGTGCTGTCATGATATCGCCTATACATTTACTAACAGCGGCACATTGTCTAGAAGGTTACAACAAAGGCACCTATTTCGTTCGTGCGGGAGATTATCACACGGATGTGAGTAAAAATAAAATTGACGCGCGAAGAGAATGTGAATTTATACAGAGTATATTTGTCAAAATGTATCTTACATCGCGATTGGCATCATCAGATAGACGAAGGAACGGAAGCGGAGGCCAACATCGAGGATTACTACGTGCACGAGGAATTCCGCAAGGGTCACAGGATGAACAATGACATCGCTCTGGTTCTACTTAAAGGTCAGGGTATCCCTCTTGGCAAGCATATCATGCCAATTTGCTTGCCGTCCGAGAACACCGATTATTCGCCCGGACTCAATTGCACGATCAGCGGATTTGGGAGCATTGAAACGGGAAAGACGAGTAAGCAGAGACCCAAGAGAGGATTATGTATTAAGCTGAATCTCTGTAGAATAAATCAAACCGCCGTTGTTTTGTCCTCCGTAGCACAATCAAAGAACTTGCGGTACGGATGGGTGCCTCTGTTGGACCAATCAATTTGCCGGGCCAGTTATGTTTACGGCGAAGGTGCTATAAGTGAGGGTATGATGTGTGCCGGATACCTTGACGAGGGTATTGATACATGCGACGGTGATTCTGGAGGTCCTCTGGCTTGTTATCATAATGGTAATGTTGAAATAAGCTATATATTAATCAATGAAAAAAATATATTAATGCAATAATTAAAAAAGGAAAATAATATAATACAATTTTTTTTAATTTTTCACTCTATAATTAAAGTACTTTGAAAGAAATAAACAATCTATTTAATTTTACATTCTAGATTAAATAAATTTTTTTTGTGTAATGTTATATTTAAATTTTGTATAGGAGCTTTTACATTATATGGAATAACCAGTTGGGGTCAGCATTGTGGCAAAGCAAACAAACCGGGAGTCTATGTTCGCGTTGCGTATTATCGTCGATGGATCGATCAAAAAATTAAAGAATCTCTAACAGGTAGATAGAACATTAGAACACAGGATTTTTGAACATATAAATGTTTGTGTGTCGTTGTTATTTGTGTATGTGCGTCTGCATGTAGTACATATTAATTTGTTTATAAATAAAGTGTTCTAAAATAATATACATATATATATATATATATATATATATATATATTGGTATATTGTATATATCGGACCAATTTACATTAATAACAATTGTGCACCATTCTATTATTATTTATAAATATAAAAAAATATAAAAAATGTTTACTTTGTCGTTATTTGTATTTTATAGAGGGATAAAGAAAGAGATTTTATTTTAATAATTTAGCAAATATCACAAAGCGATAAGATAGAAGAAAAACGAGAAAAATATCATCTTCTTTCCTTCAATCCTATCAAGAAAATTGTTTCCATCATTGCGTAAAAAAAAAAACATTTTACAGACTCATACGCACAGTTATTTCTATGAATTTAAATATAAATAAAACTAAAAAAAACAAAAGTGCGGATATAAATATAATTCGATGATAATTTTGTTAATTTGCAGTTTATTTCGTAAGACATCTTCGTTTCTACAATAATATTGTAATTGCTGCATTTCTGTCGCTGTTACATAATTGAGCCTATTTTATGTACAATAGTCCCAACATACATCTCTGATCCGAGTCAATTCAAAGAATGACAATTCAATGGATGACATTTATACATGTTGAATGAAAACATCGCGAAAGAAATTAAACTTACATATCCGAGTTACATTATTACGCTGTTGTAATTTAGACTGATCAAACGAAAGCTAAAAAGTTGCCTATTGTTCGCTCTTATTAAATTATTTTCCCTACTAGACAAATATATAAAAACGACGAGAACATTAGTCAATATATAAAATAGCATAATTTTAAAACATTGATTCAATAAAGTTCGAAAGGATTCTTATGATTTAATATGAAGATTGTACCAAAGTCATGATCGTTTGAAAAATCTAAGGATTTGCACACAGAGAAGACATATATATGTTAAATAATTTTATATTTCTTTATTTTTCTGCGAAACCTCCAGTTCGATCGATACACTTCGATCGACACGTTCTGACATTTTAGATATATTTGTAAAAGTCTACTAGATGATGTGGCTTTTTGTTCCAAAATATGACATTTGCTTTTGGAGATACTAACAATATTCATGTTGAAAAATGCATGTGCTCATAATATACATTCATCATTTATAGCGAGAGCGCGTGGATTATTTTCGGTACAATCTTCATAAAATTCAAACATTCATCCTTCCGAGCAACATTTTATTGATTTTTCTTACAAACACTTGCAAACACAAAGAATCTCACAAATCGCAAATTAGATACATGATCGATCGAAGTTCTTTATTGGCAAGAAATTAAATAGTCTCGAATAAAAATCTTGTAAACAGGATTTGGATACGCTTAATATATTTTTCCCGTGCATACGAAAAAACTGTAGATTAAAAATATTAAATACATCGGTTGTAGATATTTGCTATAATGACAAACAAAAAAAATGAGCTCGCACAATTCTACAAAAAGAGATATCCTATCTACATACGTCGTATATAGTGCAATTATGATTTTACTTAAGGGAATGTTGAATATACTTAAAGCTGAAATTAATATTAAATATTTAACTCGAATACACTTAATTTAGGATAAAATGGCCCGAATTCGTATCATTGTGCAATATATCATAATAAAAATATAAACAAAATATATAAAGAAATATGTTCTAAAACATTTCTTTAATATAAATCTTATATGAATTAATTAGAGACTTTACATAATGCATTTCTGACAAAGTTAAATAAATTTCGAGCAGAGAAGAAAAGGGAATTTGTAATAATTAAATTTTTTGAAGAAAAATTAAAAACAGCTTCGCGTTTAATGACACAAATTCGTACCAAACTAACAATCTAATGACTAGATATTAAGCAAGAATTATTACCTTCGTTTTCCAATCAATCGCGCTCGAGAACATACATACATAAACGTACGAACATACTTTAAACTTGCATTAGGCAATTTCGGATTGACCGATTATCCGCGATTATAGTCGCTTGATACTAGGTCGTAGATTCTGCCGCAAAAACGGATCAATTTCCGTTGGATTCCTAAATTCGATCGCGGCCTATTATACTTTAAATCTAAATAACGTACAGATACGTATATAATTATATATACACACACGATTTGCTTCTTATGTACAGAATTGTTAACTATATAGAACGTCGCTAAGTGTCGTCGAATGCGAGGAGAAAGATAGTGATAGATAAATTGTTTACGATCGAAATACTGTGATAATGAGTGGAGGACCCATATCTGGATAATGTTTTGCTCCTATTATGGAAAAAGAATTAAGGATTGTGCACCGATGTGTTGTAATATGTTCACAACGATATATTTGCTCTGGAAACTTATTGCATTTGTGTTCGTTAGAAAAATTGTACAAAACGACACGATAAAACCCGTCGACGATATAATGCTATCCGAGATGCAAAACGAGTGAACGGGGAATGATTTCGAATATATTAACGATATTGAGCAGAAAAGGTCAAAGCGATAGAAATTTTATGAACACGGATGATGATCGATATAACGCGATTATAATATAACGCTATGATTATTGACAATATAACACGCGCGTCGCTTTAAAAAAAATGATGATAATTTGCTTCACTATCGAATTGCGATAACGTGCATGTGTCGTTCTTTTTTTTTTGTTATTACTTATGGAAAATTGCCACGAGCTCGCGGTATAACCAGATCTCGCTCGAATATCAGCGAATCGATTTGATAATAAATAATTTTAATTGAGTTAATAATATTGGACGAAGATATAATTATCAAATCCTTCTTGTAACATGATTAATGGCAAGTAAAAATTGACGGATTGTATATACTGGGCACTTGTAAATTTGTAAAAGTGTTAATAAAAATGTTGTTTACAACAACAAGTTTCGGCGCATGCTTACACGTATTTTTTTTTTTTTTTTTTTATAACACGCTACTACGCATATTTTATTATACTAATATATCTTGCTTGTAAAATTTTAAAAATGTTTTACGACGAATAAATGAGTCTTTAATAACAAATGCGTGTAAAAGATACGTTAATGACGGCATTGCTAGGCGAAAAAATATACAGAAAAAGTGAATAATTCGTAATGAACTTGTGCAACATGACATTAACAATTACCTTAATAATATATCGAGAGATGAGTATTCTTTACGATGACCTGATACGCGCGGAGCTCGCGTAATTTGTCGTTTCAATCGATAAATTATACTTTCTTTGTTACACGATCTTTCTTGGTGTGCATTTCATATCTCTTTATCACCTTTTACTTCATGTGCCGAGAGAAAAACGCGATTAAAATACAAGTCTTATAAAAATATAGATTATTTACGGAAATGTAAAATGTAGAAAGGAAAAGAACACGAGATTGTCTTCAGCTTTTCTCGACAACATATGAAAAATGCAACGAGAAATCCTTCTCATCAACGAAAGAAAACCGCGACTGACTATTTCTGACAATCGCTATCGATCGTTTTGTTGACCGCAAGAAGAAATTAGAACAGATATGAAATTCTTATGAGGGACCGAAAATAGAAATGAACGAAATTGGAGAAAAGAGGAACGAAAGAGTTTGAAAGAGATTTTATATTTCGCGTATAATACGATGTGTTCCGAAGAATCATGTAATGTTATTACATAACATCGTTATTACTTCAATTTATGTGTACACATCCATTTCAGGTAAACGAGATCGCGATTTGGAACGCGTTTCGATTTGCATGCAATTTTTCTCTCAGGCCACAAAGTCGTGACCCAGTGAGCGAAATTCGAAACAGTTCGTTTTATTTCTCTTCTTCGATCGTGCCATCGCAATTTCCCGGTACTTTGTCGTGTCATAGACAAAGTTTATGTACCCAGGAGAAACGAACTCTTGGTCCCTATAACTGCTCGGAAACACATATGTCTTCTCTTTTTGAATTTATCTATAGAGGCAAGTATTTGCTTAAATATAAAAAGAGAAGTAGACATTCTCTCTCTCTCTTTCTCTCTCTCACTTTCGCTCTCTCATTCTCTCTTTTTCTTTTTTTTCTTTCTGACGTATTTTATGGCAGATCTGTATTTTCACTTGCTACGAAGACATTGATTTTGGGGAAAATATATGTAATTTTGCGGAAAGAACAGTGACGCACGCGTTAATACCATTTTGATGTTTAATATTTCATATTTTTTTATAATGTTTAAATTTTTAGTATATTTTTCCTGTGTTCAATCAAAGGCACGGTATATTACATTTCAATGTTTATTAATAATCACGTCAATTTTTAATACCGAGCCTAATTTATTCCGGTAAAAGGCAGTTTGCCAATTTTTTAAAATAATCTAATTTTTTTTGGCATTCACACAAATGCATTCGATGAAATATGCAAAGCATATTTCATCGATGAATTTTTCACGATAGTTAGTCATTCGTTGATTTAAATTATGTTGTAATAAATATATTGACGAATTGTGAACATATTTCCGTAAATTTATGTAATATGTCATATAATTTTGCAAGAATAATTTATAATCGTAAAAAGCTTTAAAATGTGTTCTCAAAGCATTTCTCTCCCATCTTTATTTTATTCACAGAAAATTATTACAATCGAATTTATTTTGATCGCGCGCGAATCTGTAAATTTTATGTTAAATTTTTCGTTCACGGATCATACTTGCGTGCGTCACAGGAGAAACGGAAACGACGACTATTTATTTACTCGAACCAATCTGTCAAATGCATGAAAAAACACGGCCGAGCCATGTCGATTCGCCGATATTTCATCGAATTATTCCTCGCCTCGATTCATCTTTTTCGCGATTTGGTTGCAGATTTCTCTTAAGTACGTGCATAACGATATTTTCTTACGACCTATCTCTCAAGTTTATCGCGCGGTCTTACTCATCTACAGGAACGACCCTAATTCTCACACACCTAAAAGTCTGTTAGCGTATATCAAAAGGACTATGTACAAAAGATCGAACACGCCGATCGCGTCTTTCTCAAGCGGTGGTGGCCCGAAATCTTTGCATCGTATCCGGAAATTGTCCGGAAGTATAATAAAGATATCGCGCGATTCCGATTCTCGCGCTCGAGAGAAAAGCTGCCAACGGATCAAAGGCTTAGGAACTATACTTACGGCTACGCGACATTGTCGAGCGAATTTCACAATCATCCTCCAGACGTGCTTAACTCAATATTCACGCCACGATGACCGTAATAATTTTTTGTTATTGAAATGCATCGATTTATAATTGCCACGAATGTTATCGGAATTTATCGATCTGTACAATCTCATTCATTGACCATTTTAACATTGATTGCCCTTTAGATGCAAATGTCAGATGATTATATTGTTAGAGTTTTTAAATAAAATTTATAACTATTGTGTACTGTAAAAATAATATTTTTTTCGCGATAAATAAATGCTTTGCAAATGACAAATAATTTATGTAAAAACTTATATTCGTTCAAATTAAAACCGGGAGAATTAAATAAGACATTTAAGCTGTATATGCATAGTTGAAATAAATAAATAAATTAAATACACAAAAATGTAACAAGATTGTATAGATCGCCATTAGATGACATTTTATGATAATGTCAATTCGTTATTGAAAATTTTTGATCATACACAAAAATTCGCAAGACAAGAAATACCTAATCTCACAGGTCGCCCCGGTAATATTTTAGTCCATTGTCGATCTTCCATCCGCTCTTCATCTTTTCCTCTCATCATCTTCTTCACGGATAAACTAACTACGATTATGAATATATTAATATTTATAAATGTATCTTCACATGTATATCTATATCAATACCGTTCCCATTCGGCAGGTTTCGGCATAGCTCGCTTTCACTGGGCATTCATCTCAGATCTGTCAACATATAATTGCAATAAAATCTTTTTTTGTGCATTTAATCTAAGCAAGTAATTTTTCAAAACTAATTTTTCAAAACTATGTATTTTAATTATACAAAGAGCAATAACAGAATTAGTTTAAAGATCCAATTAAACTTTATTTCATTACGCACAACACAATAAATGTGTTCTGTTGGTTTTTTTATAACAAAATTCTACCGTATTCTAATCTGCATCGTTCGTTTTTTTATGTATGTACATACATTTAAAAAATAATATGTTGCGATACTTACTTTAAAGCTTTATAACGTTCCTTTTCCGGATTGTTGTCGGGAGGTTCGCACTCGAAAGACGCTAGCGCAAGTGCTGCAACAAAAAGGGACAGAAATTTGTGAATAATTTTATTGCATTTTTTACACTTTCACAGCAAAATGGAATACATATTGCTTACTATTTTCTGTTAGCACAGGACTCGCCTGAAGGAAGGCAATGACGCGTGGATTCTTCTCGAATGGACAGGCAACTTGCTTCCACGCGATGAATTCAGTTACCTGCTTCGCCAGCTGCCAGAATTTCTCAAAGTTGATATGACCGTTCGGCAATCTGAAATGCATAACTGAGCTTGAGCAGTGGGGATTAATTAGCTGTGAGAGAAAGCTCGTCGCGCGTTTAGGCACACATTGTATCTGACACATTGTTGATCGATAATCTCGATCTCTACAATAATGTCAAAGTTGTGTTGACATCTGTTTATGAGATGCATATAACCATTCAGATATATGTCAGATATGTCCGACCAGTTATTTTATTGCAAAATTATTATGTGTTATATTAGGGGGTAACAATATTGTATTACAATTTCTGTAATAAATTGAATGTAAAATGGAATGTCTCGTGCAATATACTCATTTAAATTGTATTATAAAATTATATAAATATAAAATATAAAATTATATAAAAGATTTAAAAAATAGGAAAAAATATAATATTACTCACTTGTTGCTGCAACCTTCGTTAAGGAAATACAGATCCTTAACGAGAAGGCTGAAGAAGGGCACTACGATCCGTTGACGTTCGTCTGTAGCACCAGCGCTACGCCACATTGCGGCCTTTAACGTGCTACGATAGCTGCTGAAATTGCTGCTAGGATCCATCTGATGCTCCAAAATTGAGAACTTGGCGGATTGTACTTTCGACCACTGAAAATCATAAAAATGTGTCCCATCTAAATCGCAGCGCAATCAATCAGAGGATCATATAATGCAAACAAATTTAAAATTGTCTGAAATCGTATAATGATGCATGATTGTTAAAAACGGTAATTTTGTGTAAAATAAAAAAAAAGAACTCCATATACAAAGAAACATGTATTACGATTATAATTATAAAAGTGAAAAAAGAAAAATAAATGTATTAGTGTTTTAAAAAAAAATCAACAATTTTTTATATTACGTAACGTTCAATATGATATTCACAGCAAGATACAAATCTGAGTTGATATTTCAAGATTCAAGTTCATTTGCAGTTTCCTTCGATTCAATCTTGTTCTTTAATCTAATCTGATGCAAAAAGCATGCTTCGTTCGTTTAAGAATTCTGCCACTCGATGGATAATATTTGCATTTGATTCGAGCCTCAGAATTAAGATGCGATCAATATGCTTTTATATCTTCTAATCTCGATCTCTATTTATACTATAATAAACTCTTCACTACTGTGATAACTTTATCCTTCTTTAATCTCTTTAATTCTTTCCCTTCTTTATTTCATTTCTTTTTTTTCGGTCTTAATATTTAAATAAATATACATATACAATATACATTTTTTGTGTATATTTTAAGTAAGAATTTTTTAAATATGTAAATCTTTTTACTCACATCTCTCTTTTACATATAAATTTAAAATTATACGATCAGATCAATAAACTAAATTTAAATTTTATGAATCTCTATTTTGTAAAATCTTGTTTCGTTCATCGAGATTTTGGCTCTTGAGCCTGTCCTTCGGTTGCAAGACCTGATCTCTAGAGAACACCTTTTGCCTATCATGGGAGCAATTTTTCTTGGTCGACTCGATTCGACTCCACCGAAAAGGCTCGTCTAGAGCAAAAACAGTAGCAATTGGGGACTCCTGCCAGACCCGGTAAATTGAAACTGGATGCGACAGAAAAGATGCCGAAATATCACGTGTAGAAGAAAGAAAATCTACTTTCCAGAAAAAGATCAACGAAAAAATAGAAATGAGACGCAAGGGATGCAAGTAATCAGAAATCTCCCTCGAAGAAAGCTTTTTCAAGATCTATTAAGGAAGTCTAACTCTAAATTTTTTTAGAAATATCAAAAGGACAAAAATGTATACTTACATTTTTATATAGAAAAATAATCACTAAACAAAATTAATTAACAAACAACAAAAATCCTTATAAATATTGAAATATTGAAATTAATATTTATTAATGAATTATTTTCATAAATTTATATCAGAATACTTTGAAATGTACACGTGCGCAGATTCGTACACATTTATAGTGTATTATATGTAAAAATGTGTATGTATTTTAATTATATATACATATGTATATAGTGTGTAAATAATTTTAAATAATATAATTGTATGCAAAAGATATTTTAATATTTGGTGTAAAAATAAATTCTAATACCGAGGGCATAAAAGTTCGATTATATTTCTATTAATTTCTATATTACTTTTATTTTTTTACAATTATCTTTTGCAGTTATTTTTCAAGCAATACTTTTTCCTGCTTTTTCTCGTATTTGTATTTATCTTTTCTGACTGTTACTTGAAGATTTGCAACTTAAGAAAAGTTCATTTCAAGCTATCTTTCCCACACTTTATTAAGTAAAAAAATCTCATCATCGGGCGAGCAGGATTACGGACGTAAATTATCCTTCGGCATAAAATGAAATGATGCGAATACGCAGAATGAAAACGGAATAGTCGTGAACAAACATAATTAGCTTTTTAAAAAGCGGAGAATTTTTTTCACCGGCAAAAATGTCATTTGCAGATTATTTACCTAGTAAATTTAATCCCCACTGCTGCAACATTCTATCTTATACTGTTGTCGTATTTTTGGCGTTTCACATATATTCAAATGAGATAGACAGAAAAAGAGAAAGGAATATATAAAGAGATATACAAATATGCTGAACAATTGGTCAAACTTATAATTGAAAACAAGAAGGGAAAAAACTTCAGTTCAATATTTCTTATGATCGATTCTCGGAGCGATTGTATTACAAAAGAAGCTGCACATATTTCCTGCTATATAAAATGTACAGCAATTTACAAAGTTTTTTATTTAAAAGTAAAAAGTAAGTTGGAGGAAACTATATAAATAAAACAAATTATATATATATATAACATAATGTTCATAACGCAATGTAATATACTTTTTATGCAGTTTCCAGAATTATTCTAGTAATTATTTACTTTTTTTAAGTTATATTGTTTTTAACAAATTTTAATTGTGCATTATTATCATGTACAGAATATTAGAATATACAATATCAGAGTATACTGTAAGAATTTTGCTTATATTTTTTTGTTTATCGTTATTATTATAATTTGCTTTTAAATTTTGATTTTGACTATCTTCTAAATTAATTGCGACTATCTCATAGAAATAATACTTATGTATGGACATTATTAATTTAGTTATATTGATTATTTTTTAAACTGATTAATGCGTGTTCTTCTCGTCTACAAAAATTTGTATTTTTTAGATATGGATTTCAATTATTATATGTATATACTGAAAACTATATAAAATAACAAATTATATATATAGATTTTTCTTTTTATTACATTGTTGTTTGTTATTGTTATATATAAAATTATATATAATATTATATGTACATGTACATGTACACATACATATTGCAATTTTTAAAATTCAGCAGGAGGCAACAAATTCTGATATTTATAGAGAAAATAGAGATTTTAAATTAAGCGATGAAATATATCCCTCCACTTTCACCGGGCGCGGCCGCACACCGCATACTGCGGCTTGGCTCTCAGCTTCTTAGCTGTGAAGTTAGGTTTTGCCACCAGGTGGTGACACCGGACGACTGCGTAGTCACGTGGTCTTGCGGTCAGGTCTTGATGGGCATCAAGCATTAGTGCGATCAGTTTCGCGCGAGGCGCGCAGCGTGATAGATGTGGGGATGTACAAGTTCAATGGAAGAGCGCAAGTATTTTTAAACGACAGATTCTTGCTCTATTTTATTTTTTCACGTTTTCTGTTAAAGATTTATTGAATTTTTATGCATAATATAATTAATTTATATATTTTTATTGCTTGCATAATAATATATTAATTAATAAAATAACAAATTTGTTATTTTTTAATTTTAAATATATATAAATTGAAATCTGTACATTGCATTGCAATAATAATTTTTATACACACATTGCAATTTTTATATAATATTTTCGTATCAAGAAATAACTTTACTCGCGCGAATATACAGGGTTTGTCCGGAAAGTAATGCGTCGCATTTTTTTGTGACGCGACTATACATCGCAGAGCGATGGGACCGGTTGGGGAGGAAGGGGGGTACCCTTAGCTTTCCAACGGTAGGTCGCTCAATTGTTTCCATGCGCTTGGAGGGTTAGGACGGCTTATTCTGTGAACCTCTGCTTAGTGGTCGCGTCGAACTTGTGATGGAGAGAACGATAGAGCAACGCTATGCGATAAAGTTTTGCGTGAAGCTGGACAAGACGCCGCTGGAAACTTTTGAAATGCTCAAGAAAGTTTTCGGGGACGATTGCCTTTCCAAATCGCAGTCAAACAGATGGCACAAGATGTTTAGAGAAGGTCGGAAGGAGATCGCCGACGAGGCCCGCGCAGGACGCCCGTCAACATTGCGAACGGACGACAATGTGACTCGTGTGCGCCAATTATTGAATTCAGACCGTCGAATGAATGTTCGCTTAATGTCGGAATTATTGAACTTGCCGAAAACGATTGTTCACGAGATTGTATCGGAAGACTTGGCCATGCGAAAGATTTGCGCAAAACTTGTGCCCAGAGTGTTGACCGATGCGCAAAAGCAACACCGAGTGGAAGTTTGTGAAGAACTCAAGCAACTCTGTGCAGATAATCCCAATTTCTTTTTTTTATTTCCTCGGCTGAAAAGGGAGCTCAAAGGACAACAGCTCGAGTCGGTTGACAACGTACAAGCTACTTCGACGGCCTCCCTGAACAGCATCCCAGTCAAGGAGTTCCAGAAATCTTATGACGCATGGAAATCGCGTTGGCAAAAATGTATTGACGCAGAAGGGTCATACTTCGAACAATTTTAAGTTGTTTTACCTATGCGATCAATAAATTCTTTTTTAAAAAAATGCGACGCATTACTTTCCGGACAAACCCTGTATACTTATATTCAATTAGATTAAGCAAAATGAGAAAGATATTAAATATTAATATATAAATATATAACAACAATATAACGACAAACACAAATGATTTACAATATCAAAAACTTTTAATTTTTAAATGATTAAAACTCAAGTTTTTCTCGTTGGATCTTGTTTAATTATTATTGAAATAAATATTCAATATGTAAAAGCTTTTGCGGAAGCGCTGTCCGAGAGTAATACATTCCGCCGGGAGCATCGACTGGATTAAAGGAATTCCTGGACGTAGCGCATCCGTGTGGAAATCGAGAATACGTAATGGCATACGAGTCTTCCCATGGGCGTAGCACACGCTAGTCGGGCAATTAGCTAATTCCCAACGAGACGAAAGGATCGTCAGTGACGCGAGGACAACGTTGCCGAGCGATGCCGTTTGACTTGAAACTTTTTAATTAACCCAGATCGCACGAGCCATACATTTCGGATCTTTCCCGGGGCGCTAGGAACCGCGATAGGAAAAATTCAATCGAGTCAATTTAGCCGGTATGTTTTCGTTTTCTTTCAGTTAATAGCAACTGCCCGTAACATCTCCTTTGGCGTTCAAGAGAAAAAAATTTTATATAAATTGTACGGAAAATATCAAAGCATATTTAGTTCGATCAAAAATGGGAAATGAATTTATTATTTAATGTCCCGACTTGAATTAAATCGATTAAATATATGAAAGAGCGCGATCGAAACTGCCCTCGCTCTTTTTCTCTTTGTGGAGAAACGAGGCGGAAATTTGGCTCTCGACGTTTTGTCACGCTCAATGTTGAGCGTCACCACGCTCGATTTACGAGGATTACAGAGCGCTTATTGCTCCGGCATGCAATCCCACGAAGGGGTGTAAACTAACAGGAATAGCAGTCGTGTCGCTGCGCCATTATCTCCCTGACGCTGCATTCTAGCGCAAAAAAATGCGTCGGCGCTCTAACAGTCCCGCGGATATTCGCACTTTCCAGATACGCTCCCGTGCGATTGAAAAATTGGAAGATATATGCATGCATTGTTCTGGATACCTCCGTGGGAATAAAATATCGTATCGATGCTGGTTTCAATTTGCCGAATGCAATTTTCGCGAAACTTGTTACTGGAAAATTGTAATAAAATTTGCTGAGCGATTGCGTCGATTTAATATATGTTCATCAAAAAATATTACACACACATTATATATATAAAAATTAAAAATTATATATATATATATATATATATAATCTTTATATAATATATGTATATTTATATATATCGTGCAGTTTATTACATTTTTCTCTTTTTTCTATTTTAATTATTATCTTCTATTTTGATCTTATTTCTAACGTATTCAAATAAAAAATTAATATTACCGTCAAGTACCGTTGAAAGAAATATCAATTACATTTTTTCACACTTACCGTCTTCTTCAAACGAGATATAGGGGACATGTTAAGGCCGGCGATGATCGCCATCAGGGAATTGAAGTTGCCAATGTTAAAGCATTCTCGGGCAGTCTCGATCCAATATTCGACAACACGAACGCGTTGCTTCTTCTTTGCATGCTATAAGAGTATAATGAAATAGTTGTCAATGGTATTTGCATGGTGCATATGCAAACACATACGTTAAATTTTACACAATAATTTTTTTAATAACTTTAAAAAATAACTCTTTATTTTAAAATTTAATTTCCCTTGAAAGATTTTGATTAGACATTACGTAGAACGAAAAAAGAATTTTATATATCAAAGGTTGCAAAAAGTACTGAAAGAGTATTGATATTTCTTAAAGTGATAATATTTACCTTGCAAACTTCCGTTGCTACAAAGTAGCTCAATCTGTTAAACCATTGAACGTACGATTCGAGATTCCGGGTCTTCTTCATATCTTTGAAGGACGTTTCTAAATGCGGTGATTCCTGATGAAATAATTAAAATAATAGTGTTTAACAGTCTATGAAATAATAATGCTCTAAAATTTTTATAAAAACATTTATAAAATAGATAATTGACCAAATAAAATAATTGTAATTAATTTAAAAATAAACTTACTTTGGCAAAAGCCTGTACAAATTCTTCGGGTCCGATGTAAGAGAGTCTCTCGAGTTCCACATGGGTCAATTGTTGTGCCAGCACAGTAGCTGATGGACAAAGTTCTGTAATGTCCACCTAAAAGACAAATAATACTTGTGTATTAAAGTGGTCCGAAGCTCTTGTATTTAAGAAAAAAGAAAAAGAAACTAGATTAAAATAGAAAATAAAAATTGTGAATTGTGAAAATAATACGAGTTCAACAGAAATAGAAAAATATCTTCTTTTTTTAAATTTAAATATTTAGATAAAGAAAACTATTTCGCGGAAATATAAAAATATCTTATAAAATAGAGAAATATATTTTTGTTTTAATTTAAATATCTAAGTAAAGAAAGCTATTTCGCAAAAATATAAATATTATTTTCAAGCAGAATAACATCTAAATAGAAGCATCAGTAATGTAGACGTCATATTGATTTTATGCTATTTACATATCTTAGAGCACTACAGATTTCGTCTTTTTAATTTCGTTACCTACTTTGGTTTTAGAAAATTAAAAATACAAAAAAATAAAAAGATAATATAAGAATAAAAATAAACACAAGTTGGTTTTATATGTAGCATCAATATACAAGCCGAAAGATGCATTATTTTTAAATGTTATTTTCATTGAAGTCAAATGTGTAGCGCAAGAAAACATATAGGGTAAAATATTACGCGCATAAATAAAAAAATTCGTCACACAATAGCACTGTAACAAATGGGCATTTACATTTGCCTCTTTTGATTTTTATACTTTTCTACCTCTTCTCGGAAAGACATTTTTAGAGCTTCGATTTCTTTACTGGTCCCCGCTCGCTTTATCATTTATATTTGATTTGTCGACGATATTCGCTTCGATGTACATCTCAAAAGCTGATGTGACAAGAGAGAATGGAGCTTGCGTAGACTTTCTATACTCTCTCGTCCTATAACTGTATATACATATACGCAGATACGCATGCTTTGAATGTTACAAGAAGTGGTGGAGAATGAAGGATTGGTAAATATATATATTTCTCGACTGCGGCGGAAAAGGAAAGATGTCGTCGAAAGGCGACGAATAAAATCACTGGGCCGCGTGATCCGTTTAGGAGGAAATGGCACTCTGAGACGGACTTCCTCTCCCATTGAATTATATCGTCGATCGTATTATCGAAGTGCCTGGCACAGAAGTGGACAGAGTTTAACTAGGAAAAGGAAGAAATTGCTTTGACGAGAATGCTGGTAAAAGAGCAAATTCAAGGGTTCTCGCGTGGTAAGAGTTCCCGATTTCCGAGTGTAAAAAAAAATAAGGCAACTTGAGATGGCATTTCAAAAGGCGATCAAAATGTAAAATTTTTTTCATAGATAAAAAACACTTGTAGAGATTAAATTTTTTCATACTTGTTTTTTTCATAAGTGACGGAAAACAAATTTTTTATGTACTGTCATCAATAAAATAAATAACAGCGTAGAAAATAAACGAGCAGAGTTGTAATATATAGGAATAGAATTTTATTGTATTTTTTCGTACTTGTTTTTTTTTTCATAAATGACGGAAAACAAATTTGCTACGTACTGCCATTAATAAAATAAATAGCAGAATAGGAAATAAACGAGCATAGTTGTAATAAGAACAGAATTTTATCGTTGTTTTAATGAGAAGAAAAATATGAGAAAGCTCGCATCGAAAAAGTTACGAGGTTAGTCGAAACTTTTATCTCGATGATTTAAATTGTACTTTCTTACTTCCAAGTCTCAATCGTGAAGATAAAAAAGTTACTTTAGTTAAAATTGACGTTAAATTTCTCCAAAGTGGAATTCGTTAGAAGAAACGCGACGTGAGATGCTATTATTTGGAAATTCACCATTTACCATCTCGCGTTCGAATACTTAAAATCGTTCTTCGTCTTTCGTCATTTATCGAGCAATACTTTGTTTCTAAAAATACTTTGTTTCGCTTCTGCGGTCAATTATGACAATGAAATCAGTACAGGCCGGAGTTAGTTTGTAGAGTGGGTTTACTGGGGCAAAGTCGTTGAAAAGGACCTAATCGGTTAGCGATGGTCTCGGACCGAGGCAAAGTTGCAAGTTGCTTGGAAATTTGCCGGGAGCGATAATATCCGGCGCGATGGCCAAAGAAACATTACTGCGAGATATTAGACAAGTGCAGTTTCGCTTTGCTGCCCGCAAGATCGCACAGCTAGATTCACGAGAGATTTCTTGCATCGAGTAGTTTCCTCTGCTGTTGTCTGATCACATGACGAAATTATTATATTTCGATAGGATAGATAAAATACTCATGCATTAAATTCGGAATAAATTGTTATCCAGATTTTTCTCGCGTTCTCTAAACGATATTTATTTTTCGAAACTTTCCTTGAAAAGGTCTTAATCCAAATTATGATGCTCGCTTGTTGTGGTTTTAATTAAATTATATATATGTATACAAATTATAATTATATATGTTTCAGTTTTTGTTTTTTGATAAAATTAACTCAGTTACAAATGTTAATACTGATGTAAATTATAATTATTAGAAAGTACGAAATTTTCCTTTGTCACATTTAATGAGCTTTTACATATGATATGTTTGGATTGAACGATGAATTTCGCATATTTAGTTTAATTGGTTTAACTGTTAATTGATTTAACAACTTGCTGATGTGGAAACATAATTATAACATTAAATCTATTATGCAGCGAAGAAGAAGTATAATACATAATTATAAAATTATTTCTTTAGAACGTCGCTAAACCTAATTGAGAAATGTGTTTTGTAAGATTAATTTCGAGATAAAGTAAAATGATAGCTCGTAATACAAAGTAATATCTATACACCATCTTCTCATAGAGTTTTGTTTGAAAGGAGAGAAACTCGTCCGAATCGACGGATAAAACAAATTGAAAGTTAAAACGAAGAAAAGAGCGTACTTTCGTGATCTCGAAGTGTGTTTCTGCCAGTTCACGATATAGAATATAGATACTTAGAAGTTACTCGATAGAGAAAGAAAACAAATATCGAAAACTCATTATTAGTTTGGTAAGTTATTTCTCGTCTGCTTGAATAAAGGAAAAAAATCTTTTTCTGAAAAAAATGCGACACGTATCGAATTCTTGCAAACGAAAGTACAACCACCTAATAATTCAATGCTTTGCGCTTAAAATCACTTGTATTTATGGACGACGAATAGAAAAACATATAGTTAACATTTGAAATATGTGAGAAACATTTTTAATTTGTTTCGTTCTTCTCGTATTTCCTAATTAAAAAGGAACGTATATAATATTTTATTAAACAGTGACGCATATCGCTTCATGTCATAATTTATATTTATAATATATTATAGATTATAAATAAAAATGAGAAACACATACAGGAATGTAACTGAAAAAAAAAATAAAAATAAAATATAGAAGTAGGAAGATGAGAGAGAAAGACAGAAATATAGTATTACGATCGAATTATTGGTCTCGAGAGTTATAACTCGTTTCTCTACGTGAAGCTACATAAAGTTGCTGCCGTCATGGTACATATAGAACGAGTTGAAAAAGCGCGGCGAAGGGAACTTGCGGTTTAATAAGCCAGAGCTTCGCGAGAGCTCGCTATTCCTTTTTCATCTCGTCTCTTCTTCTTTTTCTCCTCTTCTCAATACTTGTTTCTTCTTTTACCTACTGGAGCTCTCGTCTCCTCTTTTCCAAGCTATCCGGAACAAATTATTTTCACGTAAACTGCGAGTCACATACGTCGAAGAAATTGTTGAAGCAACGAAATGGCCTTCGTGACCTTTCTTCTCATACGAAGCTCTTTGACACAATGACAACGACAACAGACAAAGATTTTAATATATATCGTAGCACGATTCTTAAACAAGTAAATTTATCAGCTGTTTTGGTAGCGAAATGATATCTCTTTCTTTACTTTCTTTTATAACAGTTAGAAAAAAATCAGGATTAAATTCATGTCAATTTAGTAAGATAAAAATTGTTATCATATATTTATTGATTTTTTTTAGATAAATTAATGTTTATAGCAAAGAATTTATAGGGAAGCTATGTGTGTTTTTATATCCAATATACTGCGAGATCGTCTTATTTTCTTGAAATTTTGCAACATCTAGCACACAATCGGTAAATAACAGTGGTCGCTTTAATATTCTTCGGGACGAACTCGCCAGAAATTCTATCTCAGGGGTTTAATGGAAATTTTCGTTTTACAACACGAATATCTAATTTTATTCTGGTTCCGCACGTAACAGTTATTTCGTATTCATGACAGAAATTATTGTGTACGTAAATTCAGCATAGATTCGTTCAACTCCTCACTTATATTGTATTACATTAATTTCAAAAATTGTTTAGAACATAATATAAAGTACAAAATAATTTTTGAGCGAAATTTCAAATTATTCATTCTAAACAGAATTCATGAATAATGGAATTTAAAAAAAAATAAACTTGAAAGTTTAAAATTTAAAATAACGATTAGATATTTGCACATTGTAAGAAAAATTGTAAGGATTACCTCTTTTTCTTTTTTTTTTTCTTTTTTTATGAAATATATCTTTTCAATTTTAAAAAATTTTAAATTATATGAAAACACTTTATATAATTTATTATAAAAGGATGATTTTCCCGATTATATACTCTTTTATTGTAATAAAATTCTATTCAAAAAAATCTAGTTAAAAAAAAATGTTGATAATACCTCAATGAAAATACAGCGTGTTTTCCATGGATATCGGTGAAAGATTGACGTTTAAGCTGTAAGCTTTAGAGATAGACGTACCGCTATTACAATCTGTATCTTTTTAAATCCCGCAGAAATTTTACCCTTTTCAAACGTCATCGTAATTTTTCACGAATTTACACGAAACGCAGCAATCCTCTGGGTACTGATTAACCACGCACGCGACACGATCCGGCATATTTAACTAACTAACGCAGCTACAAATTACCCATTAATGGATGCTACAAGCGACAAGCAGATAGGTGCGTGATAATGAAATTAACGGAATGGTTAACGTCTCTCGGCTGGGAAACTGCAACTAACCCGGTTATAGGCTAAACGCGCGTACGTAAATGTCCAAGTTTGTGCGTTTCGATCGGCGTGCATGTGTGTATACAAGGTGTCCCAAAATTAATAATAAACCTGTTAATGACAGATCGCTGAGATCATTTGAAGACGATTTTTCCTCAGCGAAAATGTCAAGGGAGGCCATCATGTATCTTCATAATAAAGTCTTAAATTAAAATTCTATTAAAGTAAACTCCACATGAAATTAGTAAAAGAATGTGATTTTGTTAATATTTTATTTCCACGAGGCTTACTTTGCGAAATAGCCCTTATTTTCAATCTCTTATAATAACTCGAAAATGATTGATGTGTCGACATTTTCGTTGAGGAAAAATCGTCTCCAAATTATCCCAAGAATCCATTAACAGGTTTACTACTAGTTCTGAGACACCCTGTATATGCGTGCGTGATACACATACAAACATGAAGAACGGGAATATCGCGAAGCGTAACATGTTACAGTAACCATGTGTGAAACGGTCGAGAAGTGAGAGAGAACGCGCAAGAGAGGCAGGAGAGTGTTATCCGGAGAGAGAATATTATCGCTTCATTATGCTGAAAGTCCTCGAAGGGTCGATGCGATTACGGTAGACCGAGTAATCGTGCTTTGCAACAGGGCGAGCCGGATTACGCGAGTATAAATCCATATTGAAATTGTGGAACAATGCGGTACTCGGGTCAATGCGCGACCAATCAAAAGCGGCAATGTCTTTCTCTTATTAATTTATGATATTAAAATGATATAAAATCTCTAATAAAGCGAATTATATAGACAATTTTACTCCGAACATTTTTGCTGGACATGCATGTAATTTGCGTATCAAATTCTACGTATAAATTTGCGCTGTCCTTTACAAGTATTTTACTTTGATAATAAATTTGATATTCAAGGCTGACACAAATTATCTATATTTTACACGATTAAAAGATCTCATTTAATTTACAATGAAGTATTATGTAAAATTGTCATCGTTAACACATCGAAATGTGCAATTGCCAAACGTTATATCGTCAAATTGCATCTGTATCTCGTTCAGATAAATATTGCTGTTTTTCTAAACTTTACTGTTTTTCGTCCTCTTTTTTCGGTCAAATGACGAAATATCAACATGTACGAACCTCGGCGTTTGAGACATCAGTGATATTTGTAGTTCGCTCGTCGCACTAAAGCGACCAACTGAGCCCAAAATACGGGACAGGGAGATGCAAACTGACGGCCACAAATGGGCGCTTGTACTGAAATTCAGCAAACCTGTGTAAGCTGCTCCGTCGCTGCCTCGGTCGCCAGTCTGGCCAGGCCCTCCTCGTACCTTTCCAAGGCCGTCAGCCGTAGCAGTAAGTTTTGCAGCAATGCCGAAACTTCCTGCCTAGCCGCGGCGTCGACCGCAGCGACTTTCTGCGTGATGGATCTGACATGGCCCATCACCCTCTCGTCTCGAAAGTCGTACGGGAATGTTTCCGTCCATTCCGCAAGCAGCTGCACCAGCCGCGGCACGAAACGGTGCAGTCGTTCCTGGAATATGTACGAAATACTTTATCGTTTTCCGATGACAGAGATAAATTTTTGTTTCGAGAGATAAAAATGTGACCGAACGATCAAGTGATGAAAACGAGTGCTCTTTCATTCTGCGATGTATTATTGTTCAAAATTATATTGTTAAATTCAATAAATATATTGGTGGATCGATAGATATTTCACGAATGAAAAATAGTTGCAGAATGACTAGCTTTGAAACGTTTATAGTATATCGAGCTGATATATAAAAGCAAAAAAAACCACGATTTATATATATTGTATAAAAATACCTCAATATCCGTCAGAATATGATAAGAAAAAAGAACAATGAAAACGAAAGGAAAAGGAGAAAGAGAAAGTAAGATCTTAATAATAAATAATTCTCTGTAAAGTTGAGGAAGATGATTTGTTTCGCTCAGATATAAGGTGTACTTGTATTTCACGATAGATAAAGGAGCAAAAGGGTAGATGAGGCACAGACGAGAATGTATGACCGTGATGAAACGATAATGCACGCGGCCTCTTCGTGGATGCACGTGTTGGCAAAGGGCTGCGTGCCGGTTCGCAGATTGAAAGTATATCTACGGTGTGCTCACCTTACCGCCCTCTCCATTCAGATTTTGCTGATGCTCGCAGAGAGCGCAAACCTCGCCCAAAAGCTCGTGCGGCTTGATGAAGAGCCTGGCGCTCAGCAAAAAGGCAAAGAGGTACGCCCGATCGGGATAATATTCCTCCGTAGGCACCATGTGCTGTACCAACGCCTCAAGAGAGCCTGAGACGAGGTTGCCGTCTCGGTACACCAAAGCCTGAAACAGTATTAGGGGTTTGAGTAAAGTAACGCGATGCTGCTAACTCAACATGCTATCCTGATGCAGTGTATCCGTATATGATATAATAAAGCTTAACATACGAGTCATAAAATTCCGAAAGTGGGAAGCTAAGCTGACATTTATCTTAGATGACGGTTCTAAGTTATTAGCCTTTCTATTAAAATCTTGCTAGAATCTGTTTTTTTCTTTGCTTTCAAAATGTATTGCAAATGAAGACTTTTAGGAAATTATAATTTTGATCGTAATAATTTTTTATATCATTTTAATAATGGGGTAGGATTTGAAAACTTTTTTCAATACATAATTATTGTTGTTTTTATAGGGTACACATACGATGTAAAAATTAATTATGTACTAATAAATAGAATACAAATGCACGGCACTTTGCACAAACTTTCTGAAGTTAATTGCAATGCGCAATTTATTATATTGCAATAAGAGAACGATGCAAAAGTTGTATAAAAATTTTGACATAAAAAATGATTTGATATTTAAAATCGGCTCTATATCTATTTGCTAATAAATTATATACTATCATATATTATCATTTTACAATGACTATTACTTCATATAGCTTTCACGATAGATTTCAATCAAATAATAAAAATCGCATAAAATACACGTTTTAACAGTTCATCGATCTAACGTCAAGTTTTTGCTACGCGGTTGTTACAAATATTATATATTAAGTAAAACTAATTTTAGAAGATAATAAATGAAATCACTATTTCCGAAATATAGAAAACTCTTTACTGATAAATAACAGCATATAATACGCCTTTTGAGAGAAATTACGCAGAAATTTTATACGCATGTTGAGAGAAGAATAATAATTTCGTCCGACCGTGCATTTCGATCGTTTTCTCCTACTCGGTGTTTTCTCCTTGTCATTATAGTGGAACGCAACTTCACTACTTTGTATTGACATACCATCGAACACCGAACAATGTATACAAAGTCGCGTCGCTATTTCTTTCATTAACAAGAACGTATTTAGTCCTTACAGTTAAAATACGCAAGTTGAGTTAAAATGAGAATGCGATAATTATAGAAATTCATTGATAGCGTTGATGATAATTATTTTAATTGCAAGAAGAACGTATAATTCTTATAGTTAAAATACGCAAGTTGAGTTAAAATGAGAATGCGATAATTATAGAAATTCATTGATAGCGTTGATGATAATTATTTTAATTACAAGATATACATACTTGTATTTAACATCTTTTAATTTTTGTTACAATCGCATTATGAAAAGTATGATTTTTGCGACGTATAATACTATTGTTCACACGCGATGACTTTGTTATCAATTTACTGAGATTTGAACGAGCAAGAAACGTCATCGTATCATCTCTCGAAATACGATCGCAAAATATTAATAGATGCTAAATGCGATTATTTCTTATGATTATGTAATTAATTAATTTTTGCGTGATTATTGTACGAAATATCAGAAGTGTCATACAAAGTATTGCGCGAGTATCATATTATGCTAATTAATGCACAATTAATGATGTTTTCGAGACTAAGTATCGTGTGGAGTACCAAGAGGCAGAAAAAAGTGAACAAGAAAAGAGGAAACTTGTAACAAGACTTCAATGACAGCGAAGCAACTATTCTAAGGCAAACGATTTATAATTTATATAATTTATTTTTGTTAACATTAATTGCTCGTTATATATGTGTACATATATAATTTATATAAAATTATAAAATTTTATATAATATAATATATATAATATTTATATACATAATATTTTATAATATATTTTATACACGCAGTTAAAGTTGTTGTCAGTTAATTAAAATTACGTCAATATGATATAATTTATTCTCTTGATGCTCTCATAAATGCGTGTCATAAGCAGACAATGTGTAATTTCAAAACTTTTCAAGTTTTTTCCATCCGTGCAACGTTTCTGGTATGTGAGACTTTCACGAGTTGATACGTGCGCGGAATGCAGAATTTGTCTGGTAGAACGTTTCCGCGGAACGCCGCTTTTGAGTTAGCTCGTTCCGAAGTTGGCGAATGCTAAATCTGCGCATAGCTAAAGTCGCGCTCACAGCCGAGATTACAAGCCGTCGGAGATTCAAATTGGATCCCAACTTAAACTTATCACGTATTAATGCGACATTGACGAGGTAATATTTCCATCAAGTTCTTGTCGCCTTACTTCGGTAAACGGCGATACAGCACTTCGAAAGTATCTACATTTGTGTTTTGCATATGAACGAGTATGTGAACAGAATTAAAGATGTGCTTGCTTATTATTCCACCGTCAATGTCCTCTCGTTCATAATCAATCATTGATAGAATTAATAGATAATTTATAAGCTATTGAAAATTAAAGGATTAATTAGAAAGATTAAATTTTATTAGCATAGTAATTAATTATGACTAGGAAAGAATAATAAGAAGATTACCTAGAATACATTTCTAGTCGCACTACAATCGTAAGAAATTCTTTTTATTACACTAGTCTCATGTGCTTTAAAAGCATTCGGGTAACTGATAAACTTGTATGATCCGCGAAGGATTCAAATGGCTTAAGCTTAACTTCCGGTAATGCAACATCGACGAGATAACGTTTTCGGTTCAACTCGCGAATAGTGTGGAAACTTTCTATCCCAACAACCGGAATGTTACGGGCTAATGTGAAAGTGTGAAAATCTAGCCCGACCATGCTACACTATTCTAAATTTTCTCCCTAAAGCTCTCCAGCTGATTAAAGGTAATTTTATTATCTCAATAATGCATTTGTTTCCGCAATGTTACGTGTTCGTTAGAGCTTCTTTGCTAAAGGCATCGAGTAATCATTGGCTGAAAAATAAATTCATATTATACTCATTTTCTCTTTTCTTAGATAGTTATAAAAAATTATCATATTTCTCTACTTCCTTTAACAGAGATTTAACATGTAATCTTTCGAATTAGTTGGACACGTTTCTAGACTCTTTCAAAGCTAGTTTTCATATCTAGTTATAATATAGTTTGAAAATTAATAACATAGTAGTAGTACATTTACATGTTCATCAACTTTCACGAGTGACGCTGTTCTTCATAAGACGTGAATATTACTTTGAATTCTTGTCTATAATCATTTTCTAATAAATGTCACTAACGTAACTTTAGCTTGAACTCCACGTGGTATTTTATGATGGTGGATGAATATTGTTCGACTAGGACTTTGCGTGGCTTTGAGAAGTTTTAGGTTCAATTAGTTTATTGAAACGGAGGGCGGAAGGTCGTAACGGTACGGTACTATTACGAAGTTTCCACGGATCGTAAAGCGTCTCCATCCATGGCACCTATTTCCCGTTAACTGCAAGTAACAAAGTGAATACTCCAGTGTTGTTCCCGGCTTCTCTTTTCCGTGTTCTCGATTCGGGTTACGTCTGTCGTCGGAGAGGAATTAAGTCATGTCATTTCGAAGAGACTCCAATCAAGAAGCTATCTATATTTTTGCTTCCAAATATTATTCAGTTAATTATTCTACGTAATGTGTAATTCGAAATGATATTTTTTCATTTATCTTATTTCATTCTATTATTATTTCATTTTTTTAATTTATTAGTGTTTATTACTTTAATAATATTATAATAAAATCGTAATAATATCATAATAAAAAGCATTTAGAAGTATTTAAACTTATATTTTTTAATATATAAACTTTAATAATATCGTAATAAAATCATAATAATATTATAATAAAAAGCATTTAAAAATATTTATATACTTTGTAATATTTTTTGTTATACAAGTTGATGCTAGAATCTAAAATATGCAATAATAAGTGTCTTCCTTGTTTTTCGTCGTCGATTTTTTTTCACAAAGTATGTCGATAAAAGTATTCGTATAATAATTAATCTTTGATAAAGAAAACTTCTGGCAAAATCCTTTGCTAATAAAGTATGCATTGTGTAAGACGGCACAATTAGGTAACAATTTATTAAGGGACCGCAAACGAAAAGGATCTTTCTTTCTTTAAAGAAATCGAACAAGATAAAAAAGTTAAGTAGAACGTTCTTCCCTTAAAAAAAAAGCTTCTACGTAGAGACTAATTGTAAGGCTGATGAAAAAATGAGAAAATTCAAAAAAGATGGGATAAAGTTTCTTCTGAGTTGTGATGGGAAGTTTAACCTGCTTTCATTTAAAAAAAAAGAGAAAAAAGAATAATAGTTTTCTCTTTCTTAAAGCCACATGGGAGAGAAACGCAAAAGCCTAACGAGCAAAGTGCGGAAACATTCTGCACGCGAGATTAATCAGGTGAAAAAAATGAAAAGAATGCGCGCTATCCTGAGAGGCTCTTCTTTGTACTTTGAATAAAGCTTTTAACATCTGCGATAGAACTCCACTCGCTTTACGTGGCTTATTAATGAGATAAAACGCACAAAATATGGAATTTGCTGGAAAAAGCACTGTCAAGATATGCAAGTAAAGTAACTCTCACAGTGCAAATTGAACATGCAAAAATTGCTTTTATATAATCAATTTATATAAGTTTTAACGGAATTTTATTAAGCTTTTTACATTGCAAGAACAGATAAAATATATACATATACAATTTTACAATTAAAATTAAAAATATTTAATATAATTTTCTATCTTAAACTTTCATAAAAGATAGATCAATAAATGTATAAATGTGAAATAAATAATAATTATATTTTTAATATTGATTGATATTTTTAAATATTGATTTTGTTGAAAATTGAATATTCATTCTTAAAAAAATTGATACTGTATTAGAAAAAAAAATGTCGGTTTGTTAAACATTAGTGTTAAAAAGTTATAAGTTCACTCGGTTTCTCCGAGTTACATTGAAAAGTGATGAAACAACTCTTTTGTCGTGGGTAGAATTTAAATAAGGACGAGTTTATGTATGGCTTACTTCCTTGATTTATGATTCAAGCTGATATTTGCAACACAGGCGTTGTTTTCCCATGTATTCGGAATAATGTAACATTCTTCA